GTGAGGCGTCTGTGCAGAGCAAATTGTGGGCGCGCTTGAGCGGGCGGCCTTAGCATTTGGCAGGCGTGTGTGCAGTGCTGCGTGGGCGTTCTGGTGCGCACTGCACACACGCACGCAGCAGATATTCACCGCCTCCAAAAGGGTCCTGGCCAACACGACGCGTACTAAAATTGCGCAATTGGCTTTGACCGGACCCTTGCATCAGCCACAAAATCAGTGCAAATAAGCCAACTCCTGCCGGGAGGAACGAATCCCTCTTTGCTGCCGTCTTTCCTTCTCATTGTTCCACGCAGATATGCATGGATGTTCAGCTACCGCTCTCCACATTTGCTGCCTTCTGCCTTTGATGGCTCATCCAAACGTCGACCCCGGAAACATCACCTGGTTCGCAACAAAGTCATCCGAATCCGGATCCTCTTTCACACGGACCACACCCAATTTGAAACTAACCATAGGCTTGTTAATCAACGGCTTTCCCGCGAAAAAAAACAAAGCCTGACCAAAATGGGGCACCTCCCCTCTATTTATCAACCATGTGTTCATCCAGATCCAACCGCAAAATGGAAAAGAAAAAAAGGACGAGCAACCCCCAAGGCCCCAAGGCCCCAAGGCCCCAAGGCCCCAACGCAGCCCGGCCTCCCACATCGTTGCTGGGAGTCATCGGGCGCCTGAACGACCAGAACTGTTCGGAACCCTTGGAACGAGCGGCGGGGCGGCCGCTCCGAACAGGGAAGCGGCTGAGGGCTTCACAACCTCTTCTTCCCCGTTCCTCACGTTTCCCCTTCAAACATCACCCCAAAAGGAATATCGGGACCCCTGTGCAAAAAGGTCCAAAGGGGTACCCAAAAATGTACGCAGCAGAGGACAATCCTTCGACACAACAGGGCTTTCATTTTGAAGCATAACCGCACCCAAAGGAAACTGCCAAACACTGGCCTATCAGTGTGAATCTTAAGTGGCTGGACCCTTTGGTGGACATCAAAAACACCTGGTCGGGCTCATGCCCAGTGTGACACTGTTCCAACCATCCAAGTTCATAGCCGTGGTACTTACCAGGAACCAATGGCAAGGACACCAACTTGAGAAAATCCCAACCTGACTCGCAATGCGGGCCATAGGGTCCCCTTCATTCTGGCTCCCCCGTTCCCCGTTCCCGTTCGGCCCCGGGCCCAGGGGAGGGCGCGTTCAGGCTGGCCAGCATCGCGGCGAGGAACATGTCCGGCGTGTGCGCCTGCCGCGGTGATCCGCGCGTCCGCGGCTTTCGAACGCCGGGGGGTTCAACAAACCCAAAACGCCCAAGAAAAAAAGGCGAAGGGTGTCAAAACTTGGAGGACTCCCCCATAGTTGGTGTCCTTTTTGGAACTTTTGGCGGTTCCCAAAAAGACACCGCATGAAGCGGGGCAGAATTTGATTGAGGGGCTTCCTGTCCGAAACGCCCCCCCAAGGCAGCACCTGCACCACCTCAAACAGCACCCCCAACAGCATGCCCCCTGGCACCCTGCTGTCAATCTCGCAAATCACCTCCCCCTCTTTATCAGAAGTTAGAACCCCTTTAGCTTTCAGCTATCTGGGGAAAAAGGATACTCAGGTGTCGTTTTGAAAAAACAGATGCATTCCACCATTCGAAATCCATCAACTTTCAACCAAAATTGGAACCAGAAAGGGCATGTATGCAACGAGCAAGACGAGCACTTTCTTTCCCAAGAGGACATGTGAAAGTCGGGGGGCACGTCGCCCCGGCTTGTGTGGCTGAAATTTGGGTGGGCCCGCTTCTACCGCGGTAGAATCTTGTCTACTCGTGAACTACTGGGAGCTAGCCTCTGATTTCCCCCTAATTCGTCGGCAAGTTACAGTATGTCTTTTCCCAGCAAGCGATGTGCTGCTCATGTAGGCGAACGCTGCACTGGCGGTTCCTTGAAGGAAACAAGGCAGTGAACAAGTCAACAACCAACCAAGACAAAACAATAATGGTCGCACTTACATGACTTCTCCCAGAAATTGCCAGGCTGGGATTGGGATACATGAAATCTGCAAACCTCGTTCCAAACCCTGGAAGTAAGGGATGTGCCCCGGCAGTGAGCTTAACCGGGCGCCCGGGCGTGCGTGTGGCCCGGGGGAAGAACCAGATGCACGTAGGCGTCCATGCACTTCTGAGCACAAGCGGGCGTTTCCTTCCGAAAGGGAAGTAGTGGAAAAAACCAGACGTCGGAAAGGGTACCCGCAAAAAAACTGGCCACGCCTTTTCGTGAGGATACCCTGCTTTTTGGCGGTGTTACAGGGAGACCAAAAGCAAACCCACAATTTTGGGAGCCCCCGCAAACAGGCAGAATACCCTCAAGGGCGCAATCAGCAGATTTGTTGGGCGCCAGCCCAGGCTTGGGCGGAAATATGTCCGGTGGGCGTGTCAGCTGTTGCCCCAAGACTGCAATCGATTCTGGGGTGGTGCTTCCAGCCCTTTAAAAACACCGTGCTCTTGTTCCCGGCAAGGAAGAACAGAAAACGCTTCTGTCACTCATGCTATTGGCGGACATGAACTCCCCCCAAAGGGTAAGGGTCCCCTGTCAACAACGTCTAGGGATACTCAGCAGCTGGCATGTTTGGGCTTTGTGTTGGCAGCCTGAAGCACTCCGAAAATGCCGTTTTCCCACGTCCTCTCAGTCTTTTCCAGGGTTCTTGATAGGATACATCCCAACACCACCCCAAAACAGCTGCTGGTTGGGTGACTTGTTCACTGGCCCAAGCTGTTTAAGGGGGCCCCCTATTGTCCAACGAACCAGACAGAAAAATCCCACAGCGGGCAGCCCGACAAAGAGCTGGGCGAGCTCCCGCGGCTCGTAGAGGGTGTTGATGTCCGGCAGATCTTCCACCTGGGAAAATCGGGGGGGGGGGGGGTTTTACCAGACCCCTGGCTTTACCCCCCAGAGCCCCAAAGAAATCCCCAGAACACAAGAAATGCCAGGAACCTGCAGAGGAATTGTCCAGAACCCCCAGCCTTCCCAGATCTCCCAGGCCAAAAAAGAAGCAAAATAGGCCAAGGTATCAACCTAACCGCTTAAAAGCACCCCCCGAGAAAAGGCCCGAAGGCCCAAAGGGAAGAGTCGATTCTTAACCCGGGCTGTGCGTTTCCTTTGCCCAACTCCCATCCAACAGAAAACCGCTTGGTGGTGTTCTCCGTAAACCTTTCCCGGCTCACACAGGCACAGGCTTCAACTGGGGTGTGATCTTCATGAGGGTCCAAAGGCAAACCCCTCGCCGTGTCAAAGACTTTAGACATGCCCTTTGCGCCTTCGCCTAGCGGATTGGGAAAGCTCAAGATCGGCTCAAAGGGTTGCCAGTCAACACATCACGCGTTGGCCCTGCCACTGTGAGCAACAACATAAGCCAACGCCTGTTCTCGCCAAAATGGCCCCTCCCTTCGTCATCGGGTCTGCAAAAAATCCACCCATCAAAAATGGAACGGATATCTTGACCTCACAAATGGTGGGGCTGCCTTTTGGCGTTCCTGTTGGTCTACCTTTTAACAATTGCGGAAAAAAAAAATACACACGCGCACACTTGAAACCTCTGTGGGGAGTCCACCAAGGCTTTGGTGAGTGATAAGAAAAGGGAAAAAGAAAGAGATCAAGAGATAGCAGTTCCCATCCAATAGAATTAGAAACAATGTGCATCTCCGGTCAGTCCCTTCCCTGTCTACTAAAGAATCCATACGCTTATAGGTGGTGAAGTATAATGAAACGGGAGATATGAAAGATAGAGTTGAATTTAACAAATAATACATGAGAAATAGATAGAAGAAAGCAAACACATGACTTTAAGGATAGATGCAGACAGACCAAAAGAATGAATAAAAAGGAAAACATTCCTGATCCAATAGATGACGGGCAAGTCCAGCAATGAGAAGAATCTGGAAAGGATGGGATTCTTTTGGCAAACACTAGACTATGTAGGAAATGCGGTGGGAAAAAGGCAAGTATAACAGCCATAAACATTGAATTACAGTGAAAAGAGAGACAGAGAGAAAAGCACATAGTACAAACGATATGTTCTCCATTGAAGACTATCATTTTGTGTGCAATCCAACATTGAACCGGTTATTGTTCATCATTGTCCATGTCCTGTTTTTCTTTGTGGTTGCCTTCTATGTTCAGGCTACATATTCTATCTTCCAATAAACCTAAAGGGAATTCTGCTGGTACAAAGATAACAGATTTCCTTTCATAAACTATTAGTAGAGATCTCTAAGACAGGATTGTTCTTGTCTATCTATATCTTCTTCAAATTACCTCCGGGTTCTCTTTTTCTCACATCCAGATAATGCATTAGAAGCATGTGAGTCGAGCCGACATGGGCTAGGTGTCCCTTGACGCATCGAGTCATCTTCGTTCAACCCTGCTTATGCGGTTGGTCTCCGGGTAGATCGGGGTCTCGGCAACCCACACGCTCAAGTGGGTTCCACGCTGGGATTCCACACACATCTTTGTTTTTCGGATCCTTTGGTGTCCATCGATCGCAGCCCGCAACATCCCGATCTCTTGGGGTTCCCACGCGGCGAGCGGATCGAAATGAATGCCCCGCGCCTTGCGCTTGATGCCCAGCGCATGGGGGATGTGCTTTCGGGGCATGGCCGGCTTCCAGATCTCACCTCGGAAGACTCGCGAACCTCCAAATAGGGACCCACACATCGGTGGGTTCCTTGACCTCCCTTCAAACAAACCCAACAGTTTGGTGCCCTCAAAAAATAAGACACCCCCGAATCGATCCAGAAAGCTGGGAAGGCCGGAATGCACAGGCAGGTTAGGACTTTCAGGCCAAGAAACGTGTTTTAAGGGACAAAGGGGGGTCCGTTCCAACCGCCTGCGCGCATGTGTGTGTGTGTGTGGGCCAAAAAATGTTGTTCTACATTGACAGGTATCCTATCCCGTACCAGCCGTTTCACGAGCTGGGGATAGGATAGGAAGGACAAGCATTAGATTGAGGATTATGTTTCCTAATCAAGAGATTTCTACCGGAAAAATCCTCAATCATATGCTGTGTCTATAGGTGAGTCCCATCCCTTCTACCTTCCTATCCTCGCTCTCGCGCCCACTTGCCCGAAGGAGCCGGAAAGAAACAGATATCCTTTTTGGGACCTTGAGTAAGCTGGACCAAAATCGGAAAACCAAGAAGTCCAAAAAACAAATCTGGTCGGTTTTGGAAAACTGAGCCCTGACAATTGAGCACTTGCTGCGGCGGACAGGCTCAGGATCAAAGCTTACTTGGGCAGCGCCCGAAAGCCCTTGACAGTCAGTTCTACCAAGATAGCGGTAAAGGTTTGTGCAGGCCACTAAGCAAGTCACCACAGCCATCATGAAACCAGGCAGAACCATCTAAAATGGCAAAAGGACAGTGGAATCATCTTGGCAAATTACTATTTCACAGCTGGAAATACGAAATCCAAGTAAGGGACCTTCACGGGTGACCTCGTGTCAGCTCACTGTAATGTGCCCAGCACCTACCAACTGGGCTGTTCAATCCACAATCCTGATGAAACCGCATTCCATGGGGACCAAATCCGCAAGAACTCAACTAGGTCCTCCAGTACAGAGGTTAGAATAAGGGTACCCTTTTTTTCTGTAGTCTATTTGAGTAGGGGAACCCTCCCACCAAAAAAGGGCAAAAGGGCCCAACTGGGGGACCTAGTCAAAAGGATCGAGGATTTCTCGCGGACCGCGCAACAGCCCGGTCAGTGGCCTTCCGCTTCGCGAAAGGCGATTCGAATCGCCTTTAGCCAAGGCCCGGGCTCTCTCTGCTGCTCCGGCGGCGGTTTCCGTCCTGAACGAAGGCAGGCCGGGAATTCGAGGCGGGACATTCTAGTGCAACCTTCCCCATTCTTTCCAGGCGTCCTTCTTTCTAGAAAACCTCCGGAAACCCAGGGAAACGGCCGGTTTTCGAAAAGAACGATGGTTGGAAAGAATGGGGAATCAACCCAAAAGGACATGGGGAGTGTCCCAAACCTTTCAGAACGTCGCAAGCCGCAAGCCAGGCTGTTTGTCGATTCCAAAGAATCACTTCGGCCTTCCACTCAACAAGGTGCCAAATAGTTTCAGGGGTCTGCTTTTTGTCTTCCCCTTGAGCAAAAGGTGGATCACCTTTTGTGGGGTTAATGGAAAAGGCCAACACACCAAAGGCCAGCCAGCGTGTTGTTGAATCCGCAGCTGGGACGACTAAGATGTTGTCTAGATAGTCGAGTAACTCCAAACCCAGGCCAGGGTTCTCTAAAGTTCCTCGGCAAACAACCCAACAAAAAGAACCTTTGCAATGGGTCCGGTCCAAATGGGTGACCTTTAAACCATCCCAAAGGCGAACCTTGGGCAGGCATTCCAAGAAACCTAAACTTTAGTCAGCTCGCGCATTTTTGCAGGGAAATGTCTGGCCAAGCTTACACCCCCAAGAAGTATTCTTGCTGGTTGAAAGGGGAGATGAAGAAAGCCCAACGTTGAGAAGCTAAGTCTGGCAATGGCTAAGCCCCCGTTCGTAACCCAAGATAAGGATCTTGGGCATGGCCTTTGAACAGCCCTGAACTTTCCAACACGGACATTGTGTGGGCTAAATGATTCGAATGGGGGGGGGGGGTTGGGGTACCAAACCCAAATTAAGCCATGACCTGACCATTGGACAACAATCGTCCTTAGGTATGTGACTTTAATTGGGGACCCTTTGGTAGACATCATTTAGTTGGGGATTTATGTCCAACTAACATCCACCAACCACTTTTCAGGGGTAGGGCCACCCGTTAAAACTCATCGCCATATAGGGAGCCTGCCGCACGCCGATTTCTCTCCCCCGCCCCGCCTTGGATCGCTCCTCGCTGGTGACTGAGCCTCCAGGCGTGGATCGGATCGGAATGCGAAAAGCGGATAAGCCGAAATCCAGACGGCGGCTAAGAAACGATGATTGCCCCAAAAAACCCATCGAAAAACCATGGGGAAACGCTAAGACACCCACAAATTTCTGAGGATTGCCCGGCAAATGCCAAGAACGGATTTCGCAACCATCCACAGCATGTGCTAAATAAATAAATAAATAAGTAAATAAATAAAAACGGGGGAACATTCAGCTTCCCCAAAAAGAGTGGTCTGGATCGATGGTTTGGAGGCTAGGCCATTTGCCCTCTACAAAAACTAACGCATCCTGGGAATCAAATCTCATTTGTTACGGCTTTAAGACAAGAAGCGCGTGATTAGGGCTCAAAGAAAGGGGGTGGCGCAAGATGAGCGACTTGGGGAAAAGCCCGATCCAAGAAAGAAGTTTGGGCTCTAACATGCGGCGCAGGCTCCGGAGTGGTTCAGAGCGTTGGGCTATTTGAAGGCTTCAGAGTCCGCTGTGTGTTTTGTTTCCGGGTGGTGGGTGTCCCTTGTCAAATCAAAGAAGAACAAGGTCTTATCTTTTGTTTTGTTTAATGGCCATTGGATTTTCCTTCATTTCCCATTTCAACTAGCAGCTAGTTGACACGTTTTGCGTCCCGATCGGATCCCTCAGATGGAGTGGGGCGCGCTTTTTGGGTCGAATTTCTGTGGACTGGGCGAGGTGCTTCTTGTGTTCTCGCAAGATTAGGGGACCCCTCCATGAAATTTGTTTGCTGTTGGTTTTCCGTCTGAAACCCTCCGAGGACTTGCGCACTTTCACTCTCAAATGCTAGGACTTGCTTTGACACCCCACATGGGTGCTTTTCTTGATATTCAGGCACACCTTAGTTTGTGGTTTGGATGCCCTACCCTCTTGTGGTCCACCCGTTCTTCCCATACCTTCGGAGCCCTCCCGCACCTGCGTCGGCTTCCCCTTCTGAGGAGGTGGCCGAGGAACCCTGCGAGTCATCGCTTGGGCCCGACAGGCCCGGGCTGACAAATGCCTTGAACAAGACCCCTCTAGGGCTGGCCAAGTGTAAGTCTGGCGCACAAGTGGTTGGCAAGCTGTGTACTAACCCACCAATCACACCGAGGTGAACTCCACTTGGGGGGGGGGACTTGGAAGTGGGTTGTAACCTAGGTTACCAACAGCTTCCAAACTTGGCCGAACACCCGAGTAGACGCCTTCCTGACTTCCAAAGCTGTGATCTGACAACACAGAAGTGCGGGCAAGCGCCCTTTCTCCACCAAATCATGCGAAAGCCGATGGCTCCCCTGAGCATCCCAAGGTCTCCAGGGAGCATCCCTCGTATTGCCGACTCACCTTCCAAAGCCGCGCTCCGCGGCTTTGATGACCCAATCATAGAAGTGGAAGGGGCTTCCCACAAAAGAAAGCAGTCATCCAAAAGCTTCCTGGCTTTCATGGTCGCACGGCAGCAAGAAAAACGACACAAAGGTGAATCTGAAAACTGAAGGGGGGTGGGAGGTTCGGTTTTCTTGAACCCCCATCCCACTGAACCCCCCCCCTCGCCCCCAATTGCTTGGATTGGAATTTGGGTGGGACCAACCCCCTGTCAAGCCATAGTTTTAAGCACTGTTTCAACCATCTCCTTTCCCTTGCTGGTCTGCAGAACCATCCCCAGACCTGTCCTGTGGGTCCACCCACCACCAAAAGCACCGGAAGCCCGAGCCTCGTCGGAGTCCTGTTGACTTGTGCCTGCCAAAGGCAATTTGACACAATTGCAGCGGACGGACTTTCCTTGGCCCACAAACAAGGGAGTCACGAAAAAATAGGTTGTGTCTGAGTCTGCTTTGCATTTTGCCTACCCTAAGACAACAAAGAATCCTTTTGCAGGAGGCCGCTTGGTGAATCGGGATCTGATGCCTCAGGACAGGACAAGAACAAGAAGATCCTATGAACGGGCCACAAAGATGGCAAGCACATTCCCATCCAATATTGCTGGCACTCTTCCCTGGGTAGATTGGACGAACAAGTCACTGTTTGTGTCCCACCAAAATGGTCAAAATACCCAAGTAGAATAAGCCGCAGGTCAACTGTCATGAATAGCGAGAAGGCGCGGCAAGTCTATCCATTCTGAGGATGTGCCGATCATTGGCTGTGTCTTTGGATCAGCTCTGCCAAAGCTTCACTCTCCGGCTTTGGCCAGGAAAATCAGGATTGACACCTGGGTACTTTTGACCCTATATTAATCAACCCCCGCTTGTTAAAAAGGCGGGAAACGTTTCCTGGGTTTGGTGGGGAATCACCACTTTTGGAGGGGAATACCCCCACCCCCAACGTAAATAGACAGGTTGGTTTATAAATATGGGGTCAACATTACAGCTACGTCTCCCCAAATGGCGGGTTTCTCTTTTGGTTTCATGAAACACCCAGGCTTCTCCGGGACCAACGGGGAAACTCCCAAACTAGGTGCCTCTCACAAGGAAATGGGGAGGGGGTTAGCCATCTTCAAAAACAACCAAACAAGCAGAAGCGCCGCCCCCCCCCCAAAAAAAAAAACAAACAAACACTTTTCGTTTCTTTTCAGACCATCCTGGAGAAAGAAAAAAAAACGAGGAGCACGGGAAAGAGGCCCAACTGTTCTTACAAGAAGCAGTGACCGCAGCTCCCGCGCCTTCCCCCTCTGTGGCAGCTCCTGCAAAGGCAACAGAAATTCCCTAGGTGCAAGTGTAACCCCTCTCAGGCGCTGAGATTGTCAAATGCATCACTTCAAAGATCTGGAAAGGTTTGTGATATTTGATGGGGTTCTTTGACTAGTTAGGTTACAGCCCCCTTCTGAAAGAGAATCCCGAGCAGTGCAGGTAAAGGCGGAACTACCCCATGAAATATGAAACTGCGTTTTTTGAGGGTACCCTTTTGGGGGTTGGGAAAAAAAGGGAACAGAAACTACCAGTATGGGCGGAGGTTCGTCCAAAGGATGTCTCATCCACCATGTCAAAGTGCATTTCACTTCAATACACCGATTGGGTAAGGACGGTGCTGTCTGCCCCTAAGTCCCTAATTTGGGAGAACCTTTTGAAGAGTGCCATGCACAAGCAACTGGAACTTGGCAATGACAAGAGCAGTGTGGGGGAGCTCGCGCTATGAACCCCATGGTGGCTTTGCTCATGTTGACTGCTTCTGCAATGCCAAGGCAGATGTAACTCCCATCCGACTGCATCACTCTAGTCTATCACTTAGAAATTCCACTGACACAATAGCACTAAAACCAAAGTTACTACCCAACACCTGCGGTTGCCATCTGCGGTTTTGTGGTAAAATATTGCCAATTCCTGCTTGCGTGCTCTTCCGTAGCCAGCAAGACCGTGCACGCACGGCCTTTGCGCATTGAGGCATCACCGCGGGCTCAAAGCCCAGGGCTTCAAAAGTTTAAAGTTTTGCCTCGGCCACGAAAACGAAACGAAGACAGCAATGAAAAGTTCAAAAGTCTTGGACAAGTCAGGAACTGGGTGGTGTCTTTCTGGGGTACACTTTTTGGGATGGCTAAGGGGAAGTCAAAGGAAACTACAAGGTGATTGTAAGCTTCCCTCGGCTTTGAAAGGCAATAACGTGCCCCTAGAAAAACCAACCATGAATATTAAAACTGGGGTTGCGGAGATGTCCAAACTAGTTTAGTGATGATTGAAAGGGGACACAAGGCGCATTGTTTGGGCCCTTCGCTTGTAATTACAAGGGGCGGTATATAGCATGCCTAAAGGGCACCTACTTCAGACTGCAACACGCGATTGAACCAAAGAACATCAAAGAACATCGGCCCCTGGGGGTTGTCAAACAAGAGACATACATGAGGCCCGTTTTTGGACAACAGGCGTGATGTCCAAACCACCCCCAGAAGTAGCCCCCCAATCACTATGAAAAAAGGGCACTCCTCCGGCACGAGGCGCAGTCACGATCGAGAGCGCGGGTGAGAGGGGCATGCCGCCCACACCACTGGCTGAGACGCCCAAAGGCGGACAAAAAAGACCCTTCAGAAAAAGCAACATCCCCAAAGAAATACCCTTTCCTGAAATCCATGTCTTTCACCGCCCCCCCGCGCCTAGGATGTCAGTGACCGGGCCCGCCGCGTTGTTGGGCATGATGTGCATCGACCTGCGAGAAATTATGTGGGGAAATTCCGAGGGCCTTGCAGGGCTCAGGAATGGTCCAAAGTGAGATCCGCAGACAGTGGCCCTCGGAATGGCGGCTCTTTTTTTTAATGTTGGACCCCCGAAATCAGTGGTTTTGCTCAACACCCCAGGTACCCTCCCATCCAACGTGGGAACTTGACTGGGCTCGTCTCGTGGGCTTCGAACATTTGGAGGTGGATCAATACCCAAAAGACCGTAGGTATTTTTCCCATTTCGTGGGAAATCGCAATCTTTTGTGTGGCTTTCCCCAATGGTCATCCCATGTGTAAAGGAACTTTTGATCAAGCCCCCATTTGCCGTTGGGGACAGCAGGGTTCGCCTTAAGGCTCGCAAGCTCAAAACCGCGCCCGGAACTCGGTCCCATCAGAATTCGGTGGGGATTCACGCCCACCTGTGAGGGGTTGCCGAAGACATATGCATAGGCATCTAGAGGCCAAGATAAACCCCCAGTCAGGTTCCATGGCAATGTGGGTGGGATAATGTAAACTTCGGAGTCTTCCCAGAAGGACCACACGAATCTGAGGAATCCCGCATAAAATGAACACAGTTGGCTGCTTGACAAGTGCGCACCAGATTTCCTTGGGCTTGGCGCCAGCTGATATGCCCATTTGTTGGGCAAGACATTGCCACCGGATGCCCCCCGCCGCCGACGCTTTGCGGTTCGGCGGCAAGGGCATCCTTGGCAAGCGACACTAGCTTAGACAGATGCCACCGCTCTGCCAGGGTGACCCCGCTGAAAAACTTGGAACACAAAGTGTGTCTTGTTTTGAGGGTGCCCGTTCTTGCTTTTGTTGTTTAAGGGAAACCTAAAGGACATTGAATCAGTTCGCACCTCGCATCTCAGGGAAGCCCTGGAGAGCCATCGCGGTACATTTACATGAGCCCCCATCTTGGAAACTCAAACATCCTACAGGGGAAACTGCGAATCCTTTCCCAAGGGCCTTGAGCCAGCAATCATGGAAGATGACAGGATCATGGGTTTGAAGTCTTCAACCCTTTATCTTCCGTGATTCTGGAGCCATGACTGCTGGAGGCAGACTTATTTTAGCCATTTGGCCCAGCCGCGTAGAACAGTTCGCTACAAACCGACTTTGAACAACTAACTTAAACCACAACATGTCAACGCTTCGCACCAACAATCATTGAACATCTAAACAACCCCCTTTGAAAATCAAAAGCCATTGAACCCCCCAACAACCAACAGAAAAACACAAACTCCCTACATCTCTCTCTCCTCCCGCGGCGCCGGCGGCAGCACCGCTTTCGCCGCGGCTTTCGGCGCCGCTGTCGGCGCCCACGGGGCGCTCTGCGTCAGCGCCAGCGCCGCGTCCGCGGCCGGGCGGTCCCGTGAGGAGTCGCCGACGCGGTCCGCCAGGAGCTGGGCCACCAGGCGCCGCGTCTCCGCGGCCTCGGTGCGTTCCGAGTTGGATCTGCGTGTTTGATGCTTTTTAGTTGAATCCTCTGGACCATGCTTTCCCGAGTTTGGTCTGTGTTTGTTTTTTGATTTGGGTTCTTTGGACCAAGAACTTCCAAGGTTCCTCTGAAAATTCATGGTGTCATGTTGGTGCTTGGGGAACCCTTTTGGGGAAGGCGAACCATTGCTGGAAATCCTTTTGCTTGGGAATATCATCGCAGTGTTGTGGGAAATTGAGGGGTTGTCTCTACATGATGCAACTCCAAAAAACTGGTTGGTGTCCAATCGGGCCACAGTCAAGTTACAAAGGTTCCCTAAGAAGACATCGGAAATTGGGGTCCCCATCTCCCTCCCAAATATGTGATGCTTCGCATGTTTCAGGGCTCCCCATATTTCCACCCACATCACCCCAGCTAAAGCAGATTCACTTTACATTTACCCAAAATTCTATGTTTCACAAACCAAAACGGGACACACGGGGAACCCTCTGTTCGGGGTTTCCCGTAAGGAGACAACCCATGGTCCTTTCACGGGGTTGAGGTGCAAATGATGAGGGGGTGTTTTGAGGGAGGATGCCAGAAAGAACACACCAAGTTGTGATGTTCAACATCTGGTAGGGGTCAGTTGTTGACAGTCAAGTCTTGGGGTTGGTTGTTGGCATTATGTTCTATGGCCCCGTTGTTTCGCCCGTTGCTTTCGATCCACATCCAACCATGTCCTTCCGCGAGCGCACCGCGCCGAGGCGCCGTCTCGTACTTGGCGAAGAGCTCCGCAGGCGGAGCTGTCAGCGTCGTCGAGGGGGCCAGGGCGTGGGCCGAGAGCAGAGCTGCGGCGTCCAGGGCCTCCAACGTAGGGTGATGTCCCCATGACTCCAAACCACCTATATGTCAGCATCCCTCTAACTTGGTGGCTGGGATTGGTTGGGGGAATTGACCCCCTGGTTCTTGTAGAGAACTGGGCAACCATCTTTAACCTCCAACCACCAAGCTGACATAGGGGTTGGAAGGTGTCCAGAAAGATACTTCCATTTACTCTTAAGAAAGGGGGTTCAAATACAAAAACCAATCCGAATCACCGAAGGGCTACCTGAATCTACTTTCCTCCAACTGTATGGGTGTGAAGTTTAAATGGAGTCCCTTCGGCAGACGTCAGGTTTCGGGAAGTTGTGTCCAGAAAATAGAGGGGCTGCTCTTTTGCGGAACCCCTCCTTCCTGAGGGTCCCTTTAATAGATTTCCCCATGTTCCCCGTCGGGTTCTCCAAATACCCCAAATGTTTTGCGTTTTCCTTTTTCCTTTACCACCAAACGAAAAGTGTAGCTAAGGGAAAACACCCAGGTAAACCCTCTCGAGCCATTCCACGCCCGGCCTGGCTGAGCAGCCTCAGCGCCAACTCCTGAGCCTCCTCTAAAGGCGGTTTCACCAAGGCCTCAAGGCGAACAAGACTCGGGTCATGGCGCCCATAGCTTCCTTACAAAGATCGTTTTCCTCTGGGAAAATGGATGGCCCTTGGTAGATTGCGAAACAACCAGGTCAGGGCCATCTATTTTTTACCAAAACAATAACCCGCTGGCACAAAAGTGGAGATATTATTGGGGGGGAGGGGCCCTTTTGGGTGAAAAGGAGGACCCCAGAATAAGACCAGCCCCAGAAAAAGGGTCCCCCCTCCAAACCCCGCTACCCCCTGTTTTTTAGTTGCTGGCTTCAGTCCAAAGCAAACTCAAAGGCAAATGAAAAGGTCATCCTTGATCCTTGTTCGGCCAACCGCTTCGCGTCGGCCGAAGCGTCACCGAGCGTCACCGCCTCCACCAGGTAGCTCCGCAGCGTCCGCGCCGACGCGTCCATGGCCCCGGTACGGGCCACCGCCGCCGCGCGGCTCAGGCTGTCCAAATCCCGGTTCACCTCACCGTGGATTGTATCTGGACTTAGGCCCTGAACATATCATACGATCCCTTCCACACCTCCGCCCCACCCATCCTCAACTCCAACCCCCCCCCCCACCACCTCCACCCACTCCCCCCTCCCCCCCCTTCAACTCCACCCCTCAACGCCTGGCTCACCTGGTGCCGCAGCTTCCCCACGTCTTTCTCCACGCCCCGCACCGCCGGCTCCAGATCCCGCCGCGCCGCCTCCGCCAGGCGCTTCGCCACCGAAGCCGCCGCCGCCTCCGCAGAGGCCGTGACCTCCGAGGGGTCCTCACGGGTGAAGGCTGTGGCTCACTCGGACTGGGGAGATGTTTGGGGGATCTGGCTCGTTTTGTTCGTTTTGTTCTGCTTGTTCTTGGCGGGGGGGAGGGGGGAAAATTGTTTGCTTCCTTTTTGCCTTCTGTTGTGTGTTGTTGTGCTTTTTTTTGGGGGGGGGGAGGTGGACACATTGTGGGATTGGCTGGGAGCTGGGGGGCTAGGGGGTGCAACCCGAGCCTTGAAAAGATGGGGTCTACCCTCCGGCAAATTAACGGGGTGTAAAAAAAAAAAGGTGCCACACAAGGAAACGCCGCTAAGGGAGTGGTGTTTTTGGGGGCTGCTCTTGGAAGGGTCAAGAAAAACCGAACAACAACCGTTGGCAATGTTCTTCTTTCATCATCTTTTGGGAACGGCCAATGGAGGGTTTCTCTTTTGGCTTCCCTTGCAACTGTTGGCTTCCAAACACCCATGTTCGATATATATATATATATGTTTGTGTTTTTTTTGGGGGGGGATCGCTTTTGGACCCAGTCAAGCCCTTCCTTTGGGGGGGGGGTGTCAGACACCGAGATTCGGTCCTTGGCCATGTGCTGAGCTATTTGCAGCCGCACCTTGGCGTCCAGCGCCTGAGCTACACGCCGGCGGCTTCAACTTTGGGCTTCCTCGTAAATCCATTCTAGGTCCTCTATCTTAGTAGCAAAACCCTCCCCAAAAAAGGGTAAAAGGGCACTACGGCACTGTTGGGGGACCTAGCATTCATGCGCGTCACGAATTAGATGACGAGGCAGTTGCATACCTTAAGAGGGTCATAGTTACTCCCGCCGTTTACCTTAGTCCCTTTTGGCTTCCTTTTTGTACCAGTTGGCAAAAAAATATGAAGATTGCAACTCCCTTTGAAACCACCAAAAAGGTGGGGGTACCCCAAAAGATGGGGCAGACGCACTTTTCGGACATGCCAAGGGGTCTGAGCAACAGCTTGATCACCTGTTCTTCTTGCGATTTTCGAAGGTTCAAGGTCGACCACCTAGGTTTCATTCACACACCAGATGTGTCTTATCTTTCCACAAGGTCACATACCAAAGCCCGGCTTCTACTTAACCAGGCCAAAATGCCATTTACTGAGTCGGTGCCACCCAGGTTGGCCAACTTGGGAGGGCTCGGTGGATTTGTTCCAAGCACCAGCTAACTAGTCTAAAACAGGGCTCCGGCTCCCCATATTGCCCCTTTAAACATCACTCCAAAAGGAGAAACTCCTTGGCCACCTTTTGAGGTGAGGTCCAAAAAAACGATTTCCCCGTTAAACATGACTCCACCCACAGGAGTTGCTCCTTTCCATTGCCCCGACCCATCAAAAGGTTGGAGCCCGTAGCGCGCCGCTCCTTCAGGTTCTGCCGCAGCTCCGCGCCCTGTCGGTCCAGGAACCTCAGCCGCTCCTCAAGGCCCATCCCCCGCGGCCGGGGAACGGGGATGACCTCTTGAAACTGGTTGGTGGCCGCAACCCATAGGGACAATCGAAGGCCTTTTCGGGGGGCCATGTTGATCCGCAAGGAGATGAACTGCAGGGTCCCCCCAAAAAAGGCCCTCCACGTGGTGGACACGCTCTGCAAATGACTCGAGGCAACCCGAAACGGGCCAGGACCTCGGCTGGGAGTCAGGGGATAGAACTTGCGATGACGTGGACGTCGCAAATCGGCCGGTCTCACAAAATCTGGGGACACCCGCAGCCCGGCAGTAGACTAACAGCGCCATGACCTTGCTTTTTGGTGACACCTAAAAATATGCAGTCGGGTTTGAGGGTCTGTTGACGTTTTTGCCGTCTTAGTTCTTCTCATTGTTGGTTGGCTGCATGCCCATCGTGCATGACACCTGGAGAGAAACCCATGTTCCATCGTCACGTTTTCTGCATCTAGTTTGAGGGTCCAGGTACTCTTAGTGGGGTAGGTAATGATAATGGCCCCCCGCCCCCCCCGGGGCCCACAGAAACGCTCCGGCACAACCCGCCCATCTCCTCGTGCTGCTGGAAGCTCTGGTTGCAGCTTTGCGACAGCTCCTGGCGAAGCAACTTGGCTCGGATTCTGGGCTCAGAGGGCTCCATCGACCCAGCGCTGGGCAAGCAAAGCGTCCGAGCACCTTCAAATTAACCCCCAGAAGGAGTTTCCTCTACAAATGGTGGTATTTTGCGTTCCATGTTAATCTATACATCGAAACTCCCAGACGATCTAAAACAGCCAGAACCATCTGGGTCGCCTCTGATTCAAATTGAAACTTGAGGAAACCAGGGAGCAAACAAACACAACTTGGAGCGTGCCTGCAATATCTTACAATGCTTGGCGACTTACTGGTGTTTTGGCTTGGAATCTTCAATACATCCAACAATTGGGAGATGCCTAACAAAAAAACAACATGGCCTTGCCCTCCCACAAACATATGGTCCTCCCCATAACAATTCAAAAGCCGGACAGTAAGGAGTCCAGGAAAGGGACCTTTGTCATCAAATTTTGTTCCACCGGGTCAGTGAGGAACACGTCAGATCTCAAGGGCAAGACAATCCCTTTTTGAAAGTTGGCAAGAGGGTCGAAAGGTGGTTCTCCAAATATGTCCTTTGGGTGTCCCTTCAAACCCCACCAAAAAACGAAACCACCATCCAGCTGCATGAGCTTCGCCTAAGCACAAAAAAACAGCGGCAAATCCTGTTCATAGAGGGGTTGTCCGTTCTCCCTGAAGTTTCCCTCCAAAAAGGATCCACCCCCCAATCAACATCCATCAGGGGTTCTACTTAGATCCGCGGTTCTACTTAGACCCGTTAATTGTAAAGGTGAAGAGGATAAAGGCAATATAAACTCTAAATGGGTATGTCAGACTAGGGGATCCCAAAAAAAACGTGCCTTTCCTCGCGGTGTCCCTTTAAACCAACCTGAAAAAGGGATCCAAAAAGAAAAACGCCCAAATTTGCCAAAGGATGCCTTTCAAAGCATCATGGACCTCATGGTGCCCCTCAAAGGAGTTGGTACTCGTTTTGGGCTTGCTTTGCTCAGGGATCCCAAACAAAAACGGTTTGTCGACCTGGACCCATGGATTGGATGGGTGGGGTGGGGTGTGGGGTGTGGGGTGTGGGGTGTGGGGTGTGGGGTGTGGGGTGTGGGGTGTGGGGTGTGGGGTGTGGGGTGTGGGGTGTGGGGTGTGGGGTGTGGGGTGTGGGGTGTGGGGGTGGGGCGGGGTGGGGTGGTGTGGGGCGGGGCGCGGCGGGGCTTTAGGAATATGCGCCAGGCCAGACCAGCCACGAGAGCCCGCCACACACCCAGCCAGCACGCATAGTTTTGGCCACGCAGCCCTTCCCTCAACTACCTTCCACCAGCCCGCTTTGCCAACGCCACGCCCTGCAAAACAACGACACAAGCACGGGCCCCGCGCACAGCCACAGCCCAAGCCCCGACAACCGGCCCGCGAGCGCAGGTGAACGAGAGCGCGCAGCGGCGAGTGCACAAGCGACCGTTGCGCGAGGCGCGAGTTTCCGAAAGCATCGCGAAGGGTTCTTCCGTGCCGAGCCCTTGGACAAGTTACATAGAGCCAAGTTACATAGAGCCAAGTTACATAGAGCCAAGTTACATAGAGCCAAGTTACATAGAGCCAAGTTACATAGAGCCAAGTTACATAGAGCCAAGTTACATAGAGCCAAGTTACATAGAGCCAAGTTACATAGAGCCAAGTTACATAGAGCCAAGTTACATAGAGCCAAGTTACATAGAGCCAAGTTACATAGAGCCAAGTTACATAGAGCCAAGTTACATAGAGCCCATAGAGCCAAGTTACATAGAGCCAAGTTACATAGAGCCAAGTTACATAGAGCCAAGTTACATAGAGCCAAGTTACATAGAGCCAAGTTACATAGAGCCAAGTTACATAGAGCCAAGTTACATAGAGCCAAGTTACATAGAGCCAAGTTACATAGAGCCAAGTTACATAGAGCCAAGTTACATAGAGCCAAGTTACATAGAGCCAAGTTACATAGAGCCAAGTTACATAGAGCCAAGTTACATAGAGCCAAGTTACATAGAGCCAAGTTACATAGAGCCAAGTTACATAGAGCCAAGTTACATAGAGCCAAGTTACATAGAGCCAAGTTACATAGAGCCAAGTTACATAGAGCCAAGTTACATAGAGCCAAGTTACATAGAGCCAAGTTACATAGAGCCAAGTTACATAGAGCCAAGTTACATAGAGCCAAGTTACATAGAGCCAAGTTACATAGAGCCAAGTTACATAGAGCCAAGTTACATAGAGCCAAGTTACATAGAGCCAAGTTACATAGAGCCAAGTTACATAGAGCCAAGTTAGAGCCAAGTTATAGAGCCAAGTTACATAGAGCCAAGGTTAGGTAGAGCTTAGAGTTTCTGCGTTAGCAGCTATGTAAGTTAGTTTAGGTTTCTAAGGCGCCGGGGCAGGAGTTTGATCGTCGCTCGGGATTGCGACCCTCTGCGGAGATTCGCGTGGTCGAGGTTCAAAAACTGAGGACTTTTTACGACCCTCTGCGGAGATTCGCGTGGTCGGTGCATGCGCGCGCGACCCTCTGCGGAGATTCGCGTGGTCGAGGTTCAAAAACTGCGGACTTTTTACGATTTTTAGCATGCGCGCGCGACCCTCTGCGGAGATTCGCGTGGTCGAGGTTCAAAAACTGGGGACTTTTTACGATTTTTAGCCTGCGCGCGCGACCCTCTGCGGAGATTCGCGTGGTCGAGGTTCAAAAACTGAGGAGATCGTGCGTGTCGAAGCGCTCTCGCTGTGGCGCCGTGCAATATGCTTGCTCGCGAAACGGCCTTTGGAAGTTGTCTCGTGGTTTGCGCGCCTGCTTTCGCAATCCCGTGGTCGCGGGTTCGATTCCCCCCTGGTCCGCGGCAGCTCCGGCTTGAAAATCGCAGCTTTTAAGTACAAACGTAGTACGCGGAGCGTGCTCCTGCAGCTCCGGCTGGAAATTCGTAACTTTTAAGTGCAGACGTAGTGTGCGGAGCGTGCTCCCGCAGCTCAGGCTGGAAAATCGCAACTTTTTAAGTACAAACGTAGTACGCGGAGCACACCCCCGCAGCTCCGGCAGCACTTGCGCAGAGCAACTTGCGCAGAGTCACTTGCGCAGAGCAACTTGCGCAGAGCAACTTGCACAGAGCAATTGCACAAAGCACTTGCGCAGAGCAACTTGCACAGACCAACTTGCGCAGAGCACATGCGCAAAGCGCTTGCGCGGAGCAACTGGCGCAGAGCACTTGCGCAGAGCAACTTGCTCAGAGCACTTGCGCAGAGCAACTTGCACAGAGCACTTGCGCGCAGCAGCTTGCAGAGAGCAACTTGCGCGCAGCAGCCTGGAACAATGCAGCTTGCGCAGACCACTTTCGTGAGAAATCGCGCGGCGCAGTTCGAGAGGAAAGTAGGATGATGAGATGGAGCTCTCATGTGACCATACACACTGAGCATCGCCGCGCGCAGACACGCTCGCCGCAGCGATGTAAAAAGGTGTCTCCGCGGCTGGATGAGCACCTGTGGAAAAATGCTTTCGGGCCAATCGTCCTCTAGTTTAAATTCTATTTTTGCGCTGGGCGAGTGCACAAACGAACGCGCAGCGAGTGCAAGCGACCAACACGGACGACCGCTTTAGCGAGTGCACAGACGACACCCTGCCCCCCTCCCCCCTGCGGCCGCCTCCACGTGCCCAGCCCACTGCTCCCGCCACTCGCGCCGCAGCTGCGCCATCGCCGAGACGACGGACGCGGAAACCACGGCGCGGTCGCAGCGCGCAGCATCGCGATGCGTGGCATCCACGGATTCGGATTGGACGCCCTGGTGAATCAGCACCACCGGCACCTGGACCGCCCTTTGGGGATGCAGGTCGCAAAGTTGGGGACACCTTGAAGGGGATTCGAGCCCCCAAACAGGGGAGGTCATTCGTCTGAAAAAAAATGTTGGACATATTGAAAGGCATGGAGTTCAGAGGGAGACTAAAAAGAAGCCAAGCGCTTGCAGCAATCCCTGGGGTTGAGAAGCACCCAAAGCGAGACCGGGTCTAAAAGACGTTTCCCTGGGCATGCCTCAAAATGCGGTGGCTGGGTGTGCAGGAAGCTATAAGGACACCACACGTCTTCACACGTCCGGAGCCTAATTCTGAGACACCACCAAAACCCATGGCAAAGAATCAAAGAGAGCCCAGCAAAACCGGCGGGGATTTCGCCAAGGGGCCTGATAAAGGTTTGGTGCCCTTCGAATGGCTACCCAAAATGGGTTAGAAAAAGGTCCAAGCCGCCCGGTTTTCGACACGAGAAAATGGGGGCTGATGTATCCTTTGTCGATGCAATGAGAGGTTTGGTGCTTCAAAGGGAGCTAACCTGCTAACTGTTAGCCTTCAACCCATGGTTACGGGAATTCCCCTTTCTGCGACTCCGTGCCCAAATTCATCACTTTACTGCAAGTTCCCCACAAATATCACAGAACCTGCAAACCTTCACGGGTGACGAGCCGCCCACATTTCAGCCCCCGAAAAAACCTGGCGACCCCCAGGTTTTGCCTCGCCTGCACCGCTTCCAACGCTGCATCGTCACCCCGGAGCTCCGCCAGGAGGCCCGGAGCGCTGTCGGAGAAGTCCACCTGGAAAAACCCCAGCGCTCGGCTCCCTTGGTACGTGGAACTCAAACAAAGGTTTCCATCTTCAGGGGAGTAACTCCTCTTTCTTGTGGTTTTGCTTTGGGAGCCAGGGTCTCAATCAGGGGAGTAAACCGCGGTTCTTTAAACAGCCTCCTTGTTTTGTTTTGGTTTTCTTTTGGGAGCCAGGGTCTGGTTGCCTAAAAAACGTGCCCGACCCTGGTCGGCTCGGCGGGAAAGCAACAGAAAGTCACGACTTCACAAATCCGACCCTCCTCCGCTGAACTCCGATGTTCGAACTTGGTTGAGCTTGAGGGTCCTTACTTTGTTCCCTGGAGGAGAGGGGGCGAACTTGCTGTATGTGTCATGATCCAAACTGCTGATGTAGGCTATGGCCATGGCTCCCTTAATGGGAATCTACATCATGGTTGTCTAAATTCTCTCTGACCATCCGTACCAACCCCAAGTCAAGCTATGGATGTCTGTCCCAGACTAATACTCTGGCTGCAGCGTGCTGGGCCATGCTGGGAATCTGTTTGACAAGGCCTCCTAAGCTAAGGGGCAAACACGATGAATCGGCGTGTCTTCCTATCAGCACCTCCCAACCGGTTCTGAGCTGCCAGCTGTAACTGAATAACCATTCCAACTTCACACGTCAAAACATGGCACCCAACTCTGTGTGCATTCAAGAAAGGATGTCTCTTGAAAGTTTGAAAGGGGAGCGCACAACTGCCGGTCACTTCCAAACGGTGCAACCAAAGGTGCGTTGGAATTCCGCCATTCACCTTCACATCCGCAAGGACCCAACCCGAACAACCTGCCTCCAGTCGGTCGCAAACCTCCTGTGGCAGCCCCTCTTGGAGCAGCTGCTCTAGCAGTAGCTGCCGCCATTCCTGGCTCGCGCTGCTCGATTCATGGCACACAAACCACAACTATGTACAACATAGCTATGCACAAGTTCACACATGTGTATACATATGTGTATAGTATACAGACGTGTGTGTATAGTTGTTACACGTATGACTTCTGATAGAATGCCTCTATGCTTACGCGGCTTTGCGTTTCTCTGCGTGTGCGAAACGTCGGCGCTCGCCGAGGACGTCCTCCGGGGACGCGCTGAGGAAGTCCAGCTCCTCGAAGCGGAGCCGCAGCGAAGCCGCCCTCGCAGGGCGCACCTCCGTCCTCCGCGAGGCGCGAGAGACGCGCGCTCCGCCGATTCGCCGCCGCGACGAGGCACGAGGCGAGAAGGCGGCTATGGATAGAAAAATCCAGAAGTGGAGGGCAGTTGAAAGACTTTTAGCCATTTTAGTCTCAGCCCTTTTCGGTATCCCTTCAGAAGGCGGCACCTTGTAAGGCGGCACTGGCGGTAGAAGGGAGCCACTAATATATCAGACGGCTAGAGGACTATGACTATAACAACGACAGATTGGCTGTTGGATCCAAATATCAATTCGTCTGCATATTCGCTTGTTCTTTTCTGAGAGGCCCAAAAAGAATGAAGTGGCGTCCCTTTTGTTTCCCTTGAAAACAACCCCAAAACAGTACCCTTCAAGAAAGACACACCCATATTGATCTTTGACGCGCCGAGCCAAGAGCTGGCTTTTGGTTCAGCTGGACTGGCACCGAGGAGTGACCCAGCCGGCAACTAAAAAAAGTTGCAAGGTCCAACGAGCGCAGCGTAAGCTCTTTTCGGAGCCCCATTTGGCCCATGGCTGGCAATGGTCGCACGCTTCAACTCCAAACAACCGGTACATGACGGTATTCCACCCAAGTTAACCCTCGCACGGCATTTGCCTGGTGAGAAGGGAGACGTGCTGAAATGTTCAAAAGATCCAGCAACGAATCCAAATCTGATTCGAAGCTCCCAGCTACAGAACTCCCTTTGGCAAATTCAAAAACCGTTGGTCTTTGGCCTGCGAACAGTTCATGGCTTGTTGCTGGTTAATGGAGGAGGTCATTCTCCCCCAAAGCAAACCAATGATTCAAGGAGCTTCACGGCAAGCCATGTTCGAGGCTTTGAACCCGAAAAGAGACAACGTGGCATAGGTCCCCGACCAGCTCGTCGGGCAGGTCACCCTTTCTGGTTCTCGGGAACGTTTCGCGGTTTTGGGAATGAACCCCTCCCCGAAACAAATGGTTCATAGGGATGATTCCCTTCCCTGAGAAACTGCAAGCCAATGCAAGACACCTTTCAATCAAGAGAACAAGGGATGGATGGCTCACAGGGGAAGAATTGCTCGACTGGGGTCGTTCCCGAGGTCTGAAGCTGAACCAGGGCAAGGGGCCAGTGGCCCCCCTTCTTTTACCATCATCAACGTGCTAGCTTCAAGGGAAATCGCCCTTTCTGAATTTGAACCCACCAAAAAAAAAAGACACTAGATCCCAGGGGTTCAAGTTGCAGTTTCAATGGACACCACCAGTAAATCGATCCACTTGCCCCAGTCGCCGAGTCTCTGGGCTTTCTCGGGCACCACCGGCACCACGGACTCCTCCTGCCTGAGCCCCGACGTGGGAACTCATGGGACAATCCATGGGAAACCCGTGGGAAATCGGTGGAAACCCCGAAAAAAAATAGGAAACCCGTGCCAAATTCATGGGAAACGCGTGGGGAGTTCTTCTTGGAAAGCCCACAAGCAACCAAATTCCTTCCTGACACGACCAAAAACAAGGATGGAAACAAAAGGTCAACGAAGTCTGGCAGTGAAGCATGCTCGCTTCCATGTCGCCAATGGTGTTTGTTAAAAACGCAGATTGCTAATGCAGTCTGTGTGACAAGTGCCGAACACACCAGCTACCAAGTGCGGAAAACACACATAGGGCTTTGCGGACATTGAAACAGGATTGTATCCTACTTGGGATGCTTGAATTCCACCAACCATAAAACTAATTTTGCTTATGACCATAGGATGACAATGTGTCTATTTCTAAGCAGCGCTTTATTGGCCTTTGTATAACAATGACACCAGGCAGCACCACCCAAGCTGCATGGGAACCCCTGGCGACGCCGAATTTTGAGCAGCCCAAAGTAAAGTAGATACAAAAAGGCAGGCCCTTAACTTTCACAACACTCCCCCTCCCCCAATTATCACTGTAAAGCCAGTGGATGACCCTCCAAGTTGGAGTAGATGATTCCCTCCAACTCGAGATCCCCCCCTTTTCGGGCGCCTCTTCCTCCGCGGTCGCGGGGGCCTCGCCCCCACCGCCGTCCGCTCGCTGCGCTCCTCTCCCGCGGCGGCGGCGGAGCCGCCGCCGCCGGAGCCGGCGCCGGGCCGCGCGGCCAGCGAGGCAGCGTGGGCGACGGAGCAGCGGCTCAGCGCCACCGCGAGCTCCAGGGGCCAACCTTTCGGGGAATGGAGGGGGGAAGGGGGGGGGAGGGGGGGGGGCGACATAGCCACGGCTTGGGAGCTTGGACACTTCCCCTTTTGGAGGCATGCCCCGTGCCCTTGGTGTCCTTTCGGAAAAAGTCTCAAAATAAATAGTACAGCCCTTTTTGGATGCTGGAGGAATCGGTCCCTAGTTTTGAGGCGGGTGTTGCAAAATAACCCACACACCCATTCTGAGTACCGCCACCCCCGGTTTCCTCCGCCGTCTCGCCAAGACACCCAGGGCGTGAAGGGAAGGCTGGCTGATGGCCGCTACCAGCGCTAGGAACACGACAGTGAAGCCCCCGAAGGCGGCGAAGGACACAAAAGGCACCAGGAAGCCGCGGTTGATGTCCTGCAAACAGCCAAGAATGGCGAACCCCTCCCTCAAAAGGGTCCAGGCATTCAACATCACATGGTGCCTTTCGTTTTCGGAGTTGGAACCACCTCAAAAGTGGCAGCCTTCAGCTGTCAATCCTGAGGGCCCAAGTCAGAACCCTCACAATAGATATCATGTCACAAGGGGCTTGCCCCCCCCCCCAGATCAGTACCGCCTTCCTCGATACATTTCCCAAGTTTTAGCACTGTGGACATTTGGAATCACCCACCCCTGGACCAAAAATCGGTTGCCTTCTTCTTGTGGGAGTTGATGCAAGAGTGGCAACCCTCCAAACAATAAAACGCCGAGAAGCTTGGGCACCGCTCATGTTGACCCCATATTAGTCAACCCCAGTTGACAAATGCAGGGATGTCCCTGGGTATAGGGGGGAATCATCACTCTTGGAGGGGGACCACACACCCCTATGAATAAACTGGTTGGTATAGATGACCTTTGGAAAATAGATGGCCTTGGTAAATGTGACAAATCTAAACCAAGTGCCATCTAAGATCTATTTTTGACCAAAGTAACCTAAAAAGGACACCTATGCTTGGCGGATTTCTAGGGAGTCACCATCATGCACAGAGCTCGCTCGCTCGCTCGCTCGCGCGCCTCGCAGCAGAGCCAGGCCGCCGCGAGAGACGACAGCACCGGCACGGAGGCGAGGCACGTCACCGCCAGGAAGTCCCAGGCCCCGAGGTCTCGCCGAAAAGACACGCCCCCCTCCCACAAAGGCTCCGTTTGGGAATGTCGGCCCCCCCCCCCCCCGGGGTTCGGCACAATGCCGAAACCCAAACCCCGAACAACCCAGCCCCCCCCCCGCCGCCCAAAAAAACACACGTTCCCATATGGCATCCGGGAGAAGAAGAAGAAGAAGAAGAAAACAAACAAAAAAAGGAGCGCGACAGCGCGCGCTTTTGTCGGAGCCAAACATTTCCGCGCCTCGGAAAACGAGGCCATCCAAGGCCGCCTCCCCCAGCAGCAGCGAGGCCACCACCGCGAGGTGCAGCAGCTCCAGCGCCAGCGCCACCAGGCCTTCGCTTCGGCGGGGGGCCTGGGGGCCCTCACCAAGACGTCAGCTCCAAGGGTTGAAGCACCCCCAAAAGGAAACGCACAAGTTGGCCAAAGGCGGATGGTGGAGGTTTCAATGTCTGGAGATATACCTCCCCGCGGCACCAGGCCGTACGAATCAGGGGTGGTTCCCCTTCAAGCAGGTCCCACCGGTTGACAGAAGGAACCTGACGTCTCAGGGAGGGGGTGTCCTGGACGACGGACCAATTTCCTTTTAAAGGGACCGGGTTCCATGTTATTTGGTGGAAGGGTAGGTGGAATCGTCATGTTCAAAGAAAATGGAGAGGCCATTTAGGTGGTGAACCCAAAAGTTCCAAAACGGGGGGGATTGTTCAGACCAGCCGAGTGGAGCGTTTCCCATTCTATCGAACATGAGGGTGTCATTTTCCCGACTAGTGACTTCTCTTTCACCGAAAGGAGCCTTGGTTTCGGCGAGTCAATCTCAGTAAACGGGGCATGGGAGCTTCAAAACGCGGCCAGTTTCATGTTGGCTTCCATTTTGCATTTTCATGGGCGTCTTTTGCTTGTTTGAAGGGAAACCGCGATGAAACTGAAATTATCATCAGGGGTCTCCATTCTTAGGAAACATCCATTTATGTTGCGCGTGGCCGGACCTTTTGGGCACATAGGAAACACCCGTACTGGGTTTGTCTCCAAATGGCCCAGGCGACTTGAATTCCAACTTGTTTTCCTTGTGAGCATAACCCCAGCCCTTCCATGAGGATTTCCTTTCGGATGCCATAAAAGGTATAGAGGTGCTGGAGGGTTCTTGAATTGCCCAGTCACAAAAAGGCACTCCAGCCAACCCCCCTCCCCCCCCCCGCGGCGGAAAACCCTGAAAAAGGCAAAGACCATAAAGAAGGAGGCTACGACATCGTGCTGCTCAGTGTCCCCCGGCCGGTTCAAAACACAGGACGCTTCGCGTCCAAGCAGCGCACGGCGCCTTTGGCCGCATCCAGTTCCTCCCGGCCGGAAGCTTTGGCCCATGGCAAGGCCATGGAGTCATCCACCGCGTCAAAAAGCCAAAGGCGCGGTTGTGCTGACCTCGCGTGGTGTAGAGGTGGGTGTGTTTTTTCGAGGGTACCCCCTTTTTGGGGTGGTTTTATTCACCCACAAGGACACCGAAGTCCATTTTGGTGGTACCTATTTTGACACCTGCCCAGCCCAGGTCTTGTCTAGCAACACCTCCGGTTGAGATTCGCCCGGAACTCGGGAGTGGTTTCCTCCGGCGGAATCGCTTGGCTGTTGGCTTGGCTTGTGGATGTGTGCGTGTGTGCATGCGCTATTTTCGCGCCCGAATCTACCTCCTTTGGATTGACTCGTTGGGAGTACTCAGTACTCTCATAGGGGTGCTTCTAAGAATAGGCGTGCCCTAACATGGCTGGCTTCTCCCCTGGCTTCCCATTTAACTTCATCCAAAAGGGGCCCACCATGTTTTGCGTTTAGATAGAGCTCTCCCACGCTTCCCATGTCGCATCAGATAGGCTGAGAGCCGCAAGGCTACAAGGCAGCGGCTCACAGTCGCCTCCCCTAGGAAGTTCTTCAAGGGTTCGCATCCAATTTTTTCCAGGTGGTTGGGGGGGGGGGGGGTGGGGAGTGACTGTGGTTTTCTCTCCTGACAAAGTTCCCAATATGTCCCTTCAAACCCTCACAAAAATGGGTGATGTTCAAATACCACCAAGAAGAAATATAGGAAGTCGAATTGAAATTGCCCAAACGCCAAGGACTGCGGCGAGTGGCGTGATGTGATCCGTTGAGACAGGTGGAGGTGATGACTTTCAATCAATCCACGAATCAATGAATGAATGAATCTATGAATGTATGACATGTTGTTGAGCAAAAAGAAAACGTTGAAGTAGGGCTTGCAGTGCCAGTCCTTTCCAGGGGACCTATATACTTGCGTGCCACTGAGGCTTATCCTTGCTGTCCTTGTGGTCTTTTGGGCTTGTCAGTTGCCTTTTCGGTGTTAAACCAAGAGGAAACAGAAGCCCAATATTGGGGGGTCCATATCCTATTGTGAGACATATGTTTGTCGAATTTATTCTGCGAGGGGTTAATCATCGACCACCCTGTTGTGGACGGCGCCTTGCTGTTTGTTTTGTTCCCAGTTTTTGGACAACCCTGCTATTGATTGGGCCCCGATCGCAATCTCTCATATCTGGCCAGGGTTGCTCTGGGTAGTTTCTGAGAAGCTTTTAAGGCTCGGGGGATTTTTTGATGGTGAAAAAATGAAAATCAGAAGGAGAACCGAAATCAGGGGTCCATTTCCCTATGCTGACACAAACCCATCACCAGATCATCAGCAAAGCAAAAGGGACCTGACAAGGGGACCTGAAACGGGGACCTCAAAAGGCGCCCTTTAATGAATTGCTAAAAACCACGCAACCTCTCCTTGGAAAACAATTCCCAAATCCACAATGTCGAAAGCCACCTCTCATTGGGTCACATACTGCAAAGCAAAGAACCATTGAGAGTCATAACCTTCCCATGGCTCCTAGCCGGCCCATCAGCTCCCACATGTTGGGCTCACGTTCACCAAAAGGATCCGTTTCCAATTGACATGGCGATTCCAACCCATATGTGTGCGTCGCTTTTTGTGTTAATAATTTAATACCCCGAAGCCATGCTATGAACATTCATCTTCAAGTCCTCAAGGTCAGCTTCTGAATCGTGGTTTGAAGGAAAACAACCTCCAAGCGAAAGTCCAAAATGCCCACTCTGGACGTGCAAAACCCCCGTCCACGTCACTTCCGGGGGGGGGAGGGGAGGGAGGTCGTGCCTGGAGGGCGGCCGCGCCACATGTTGCAGGGCCCCCGGGGGCAAATGCGCTGGCTCCTGGGTTTGGCCAAATGCTTCCCCTGGAAAACCAGTGATACACAGCGTACCAATCAAAGGGGAACCACCCGTGGCCACCAATTTGAGACGCCTGGGCTTTTGCCTTTTGCTTTCCCCTTGTGCGGCAAGCTCGAGGAGGGGTAGCCTCCAAAATATACACCCACCTCTATACCACACGAGGTGTGAGTGTCTCCGTTTAAAGGTTTAAAGGGAATCCAAAAGGAAACCAGCCTACATTGAGACAAACCTTAGACTGAGCCATGGCAAGGGGAGCCCTTGCAGCCAAATGTCTAGTGGCTAGGGGCTGAGGACGATCAATGGTCGTAAGCATTGGAGGCCGGCATTTCTCAAGCTGGAAGCCGCACTTCCCAATGACATGCATCTGGCGTTCGGGTTAGGATCCGCTTGCGTTTTAGGCCGTTCGTGCCGGCAAAGCCTCGGGTTTTCCCCCCAAAAACGCAAGGGTGTCCTTTTGATGCCGCATGTTGACGTGGTGACCCGGTAGGCCCGGATGAGCGCTCATTTAGTGAAGCTGGCGTAGAGAAATGTGCCAAGATCCTGTCTTCCAAATTGCTCGCTGAGGTTTCACTTCCCAATCAATCCGAAGGACTTGGAGATTCGCAGGTGACCCGGTCTTCTATTCCTGAATTGGTTCATATGCCCGAAGTCCACAACCGGATGTGGCAGAGGTTTACCTTTTGTGAAACCCCGGGCGGTCGACTTCTATTCACCCATGACCGGACGATTGAAACGAAGCCACCTTGAAAGCGGCCATTGGGGTGCCTTTTTGAGGATAGTTCAGTCTTCGTGTTCAGGTGGAAACCACAAAAAGGAAACCGAAGCCCACCCCAATCAAAATCAACCAGGGGTGTATTAATCCGTGCCTCCCATTGTCACAGAAAGCGGAAACCTAAACCCCCTATATTTCCCTCTCAACCACACTCAAGGGACTCCCCTCATAACAAAAAGGTGGCAACCCAACCCCTCTTTCGCCACTGCATCTCGGATAAGCCGGTCTCCCTTCACGTGAAAGCGGCAACATAAACCCCTATATATGTTCCATACCCGTGCCACTGGCTGCCACATAAACCCCTATATATGTGCCACTGGGAAGATAAGCAAGCCACCTCCAACTCACATAACTCCCCAAGCCTGCTGCGCGCCGTTGCCGAAGAAGAGCGCTGCAGCATGGGACCGCGCCGGCGAAGCGTTCTGGCCGCGGCTCATCGGCGGGTTGGCGCGCCAACCCCCCCGGCGTCCGGCCCCCGAAAAGTGAACACTTTGCGGGCTCTCAAAATTGCGTGTGGCTTGGGTGTTTGCTTTGAACCGCCATTTACAGGCTATTTTTGAGGATGTCACTTTAATGGACCCTGTGGTTGGGTGTGCCTCAAACATGAGGCACGGAATCCTCCGGAAATGGCAACGGTGTCCTTTTGGTTTGCCTTTGGAACGGTGGATTCCGCGAAAGTTACAAGCGAACCAACCAGTTCAAACAACAAAAGCCTGGTAACACGCAGCAAAATACCGAGTTTCCTTTGTCCCCCTGCTTGCAAGATTTAGAACATTCACCCAAGAAAGCAAACAAAACCACAACTGTTGGAGTTCCGAAAACACTAAACTGATAAGTCAAGTCCTGTCCATGTTCCTAATAAACTACCGTTCATAAATCAGGAAGCCTCCCGAAAAGACATATATGCAACCCGTAAAAGTTTCTTCTTGCTGACGGCTGTGTTTCGGTATTGATTTGCGAATGATAAATTCAAACTCGTTGAATCTTCAGTCGATGGGCCACCCCAGCAGAAACAGATGTGAAACGCCCATGCCGCACGGATAGACTGGACAATCCGCCTTTGAAGGTGTTTGCTGAAAATTCATGCCCACAAGTTGGATGAATGTTGATTCTGGTCGACCTTCATGAGGGGATTGGATTGGTGGTATGGGGATAACCCCTGGTTCTAGAGAGTGAATGGGAAACTATGCCGGAACACCTTCAAACAACAACCCATATCTCAGCTTTCTGTGGTTTGATTGGATATGTTTGAAAGGTTAAGCATGGTTTCCCAGTTACCCTCTACAAGAACCAGAAGGTCCATCCCCCAAACCACCAATGCCAGCCACCAAGTAGAGGGAAGCTGAGTGGATTGAAGGTGCTCTGGGGTAGTTTCTCATCCAGATCAGTTAAAGGGAAGCTGACATATAGCATCCCCAACCAACAGTTGAAGGGAACCAGACCATGTGGGCCACGCTCACTCCGAGGCCCCGGCATGGCGGCCCCCGCCGCGGGAGCGCAGGTCGCAGGCCGCAGCGCGCTGCCTACGACTCAACTGGCCAACGACTCAACCACCGACTCATCGGCTGGGGACCCCAAAGCGTGCTTTGAACTTGTCAGCGAAATGAAACAACTGGCAACTTGTGTCAACTTACGACTAAACTGAAGCTGACATATAGGTGGTATTCCAAACCACCAAGTAGAGGGAAACACATTTAGTAACTTATGGGGCCATTGCTCTCTTGGTAAGTTTGGCCTTGGTTCAGAAGCATCTCGTTGTTGAGGCCCTTGCGATTTGCGACCGGGTGGACGTGGCCCAGGTCCCAAACCCCAACAATGGTCCGACGGGAGATGGCCTAGAGTAGGGCAGGCCTGCTTCCATACCTCCAACTCACGGCTCCCAATATTTCCCCCTAACCCCACCAATTGAAAACTCCCTCTAAGCTGGCTTGCAGTCGCGAACCCTTGTCCTTTGGATGCTCTGGTTGTGGTGACGGGGACACCCAGCTTAGCGAAAAAGAAAATGGGTGGAATTCACACCCAGAAACAATCAACAGAGAGCCCCGTTCAAGATGCCAGGATGGCCGGAACTCACGGTCAAATGGCAACAACGGAAGGCCTATTACAGATGACTGTGGGAAGTAGCGTATGTCCCATCCGCAGACTTCTCACCGAGTTGGTGAGACTGCATCGAGAACTCGCTATGGGCAGCTGGTGACTCCAGAAGAAGAGAATTAGCATCAGAGGTAACGAATGCCGCCATATCCGGTGGGCGTGAAGGCAATTGCACGGGCCCCGTTTGCTTGCACACGGAGAGACTCTGTGAGTCACGGTGGTTGTATTCCAGCACGTGCAAAATCCTACCCGTTGGAACGCAGCAAGGACACGGGCGCGGGCGCTCATCCAACTCATCAACATAAACAGCAGTGATGGCAACTGGCCTGAAATGGCTTGGCTTGAACAGCTGTTATCAATTCAACCTGTCCAGGGCGCATGACCCTCACGGACCCATACACGCTTGCACGCCCATGGCGAGATGCCACTGGTGACGTTCCAAAGCGCGCGGCACCCTTTCGTTTGGTATGCAACACAATGATCAATGCAATGGTGGGGTTGGTCCTCAAATCCATCGACATGCTCAACCGGGCTGGCAAAGCCTTCACACTTTCCACCTCTGCTCCATGGGCTGCATGCCTGTCTCGAGCCACGCGTGATGGGCAAAAGGGGATGTCCCTTTCAGGGCGGCATCACATAGCCTGGCAGCCACGTCACAAGACTCAACTTGTGCGCAGTTGTTGTTGGCTGCGCAAACCTCGGCAAGATAGCAAAGGTGCACTTGTAGGAGCAAGGGCGCTGGAACTGCAAGAGATTCTGCGCCCGCTTCCATCCTGCAAAACGTCCGTGAAACAACTCAACATGTAGCAAGCATTTGGCTGTGCTGGAGGAGAATAGCCACAGGGATTGTCGCATCCACCTCCAGCAGCTGGTTGGTGTCAGAACACGCAGGCAATGAAACCCGGCCGCCAAAGATGGCAAAACGGCCATGGTGTCGCGCTAATGCTTGATCATCGTAGAAAGGTTTTAGTGGAACCTCACAGGATGAGATGCTCCACATTGATGAGCGCGTGTCACAAGCGGCCTCGGCGTGGCAGCAACAAGCATTGCGTTGCCCAGTGGGGATGCAGAGGTGGCCGGGCCTGAGCCTGCAGGTTGTCACATCAGCACAGTACAGGTCGACAACTTGCCCCTCTGCACAAGGGGAGGGATTCCACATCCAGTCAGCGCTTGCAACGGCCTCCCAAAGGCGATGCTTAAAACCACCAGAGGAAATCTAGCGGAACTCCACAAACCTTCCCCAAACTTCCTACCCCTCAAACCCCCCCCATTCGTTCTTGCAAAATCGGCTCGGCAGTGCCGACGCCCCAACGCCTTTGTCTATCCCGCTCCAGCACTTCTTCGCTTTGGAAGCGATTGGAGGAGGACACCACCTGCGACGCGAAGCTGTTGTTTTTTCCGAGGCCAGTAGGAAGCGTCTGGTTTGGGGAGCCCCAGCTTGGTTGGATTTAAAGGGACGCCGAAAGGAAACCACCAGGAGTCCCCAACGTTGAGGTAACCCATATATGTCCCATGGCTATCAAGGACCCCCCCTAAAAGGGCACCAATCCCAATAGGGACTAGTAGCGACTAGTAAGGCACTTTGTAGGCTTCCTTTTGCGTGCCTTTTTGGGGGTCTTTCTTTGCGCGGCCCTTGAAAACTGATGTCCAGAACCAGGGACACCCTTTGGCCCCGTCCCGAACCCAGAAAATCATAGACAAAGCCAGATATATCTTGACCACGAACCTCTGTGGCGGATCAACCTGTGAAAGCCAAAACCAAACATTTACTCTCTGCGGAAGCTTTGGTCAGGACCTTCAGGCAGTTTCCGAGACAGATCCACCAAACCCATTCTCCATTTTGCTTTCGCATCTCCGTGGTTTCCAGAACAGGTAAGGCACTTTGGCAGCGTGAGACGGGACAGGATACGCATCATGTACGCATCCACTTACCTCTGGATCGAGAGTGCCCTGGAAGACATGCCTTGGAGATGCCATTTGTGAGACCACAAACTTCAGAACAAAGGCGACGTGACAACAACTTCAACACACAAATCAACGGTGAACAGCTGGCGTATTGGCTGTCCCTAACTTTTCCCACGGCCTCTGGCCGTTGGTCCCGACCAAGGCCGGACATGTGGCGATCAGAATTCCTCGCTCATGCTTTGTTGTCCTCGCGGAGCGGGCATTCTCCCTTGCAAGCCAGAGGTCCGAAAAAGGTGCGACTAAGGGACTAGATAGTCACACATTTATGAATATAAGTTCGGTTTTGAAGTACCGACCTAGGAATCATCTGAAGGACCGCACTAATCAGGGATGGTTTGGAAATGATCTGTTTTTGGAGGGGATCCCTGACCACACAAGGTCCGGATTCATCCGAGGTACCCCATAACCCGCCCAGCCCCCCGATTCCAATTGGTTGGGACATGGGAACATTCGGATTCCATGTTGCAATTTCGCGAGGAACATCGGGTTCCCACGAGTCCACGGGTTTTGTGGGAACCCAAAAGCGAAAAACATGGCACGTGTCCTCCACCCGATCAAGCTCAACCAGGGGTGTGGCACCCTGAAATTAGGCAGTACAGTTCCCTGGTGGATAAGGGGGGTGACTAAACCAAAATGGGTTGAAATCTTGCCGTCAACACGCCTCCAACTGCAAGGGTGTCATTCTCAATGCGCCGTCTCCCTGCCATCTCCTGACTGTGCTGCGATTTCCGCTTCTCCTGGCGACGAAACCAATGAGATGCGGAGCTTATCCTGCCAGGCATGATATCTTCCGCGGATGAACTGAAACGAACTGTGTGCGCATCAGGGCAACAAAAAGGTTCCCCATTTTCAACCTTAAGACATCACCCCAACCGTAGGAAACTCACCCATGGGCCCAAAAGCTGCTTCAAACCGCACAAAAAGCGGACCCGCCCGCTGCAAGTTCTGGGCCAAACGAAACCAAAGCCGCGCCTTCGCCTGCAACTCCTTCGCCCCGTTGTAGAAGGCGCCCAGCTTCTCGTTGGGCACCATGATCTGCTCCTGGGGGTAACCGGAGACTACTTCCTTTACCTCCATTTGATTAAGTCCCCTGGAAAAAGACAAATATGTCCAGTAGTGATAGATTCCCTTTAAAACCAACAGGGGGAAAAAAAAAGAGAAGAAAAACAACTTAACTGATTGGAAGTTTACACTCGTTGTTCCAAGCTTCCAAGTGGGTTGCACACCCGGGCTTCCTTGAGACATACATCCGAAAACCAGGTTTGCAACAGAATCCTCACCAATTAGCTGAAGGTGATCTGCTACCAGTAAGAGACGCTGTCAAGACGAGTTGCTTAAAATGGGCGGGGGGGGGGGGGACCCCAACTTTGCCCATCTGGTACTGTATCCGTAGTGGGACACCCGTCCAACAGGGCTGCCACCTGAGCAGGTAGTGCTTTTAGAACCATCTACTAAAATTGCCCTTTGGCTCTGCTCATCTGGCATAAGGATGAAGAACTAAGCTTGACAAACCAAGTCAAGGCAGCTGTTTGGGCATGCCTTCAAAAGGACATCTGGATGTGTGTGTGTGTGTATATTTATTGGTCGCGCGCCATGTGTTTGATTTCTGTTCAGGGAACCCCGAAGGAAAACCAACCTTTTGGGGCGGTCCCCCTATCTTGACACACCCATCTGCACTTTTAAAAAAATTAGGGGGGGCCATACGTTTCTCCGCCAGTCCGCAAGGACCACCATGACTTGGAACAGCAGACCAGGCGGACCAGGCTCTGGGAAAGCCCATGATTTGAAAGCACCGCGCCGCATGACAGCCACCTGCCCCGTTCCACATAATCCCACTCAACACAACTGAAGCTTGCTTCGGGTCGTCGATCGAAGCCTGTCCTTGCCCAACATGAAGGGGCTCAGGGGCGGCTCCTCCTTGCACACAGCGCACTGCTAAGCGCCAGTGTCCAAGGGGCTGCCTTTGTTCCATTTGTTGTGGGGCGACTTGATCCGCCTAGCCTCTGTCCAACACCTCTTTCCAACCATCATGGAAGTGCACAGGGTTGTGGACGACTACTATCAGACGTCGTCTCAAAAAGGTTCCCTTTCCACTTCCATGGAACTGGATGTTGCATAGGGGGTCTAGAAACAAAGGGTACCCTCACCAAGAACACACCTTGAACAAACCACCTATCTGTATGAACCACAGGCAATAGTATTGGTGTGCTGTTGGTTTGACGATGAGAAGGGGACCTATTAAACAACTGAAATTGTCCCATAAGCCAACTTGCCCCCCCCGTTTTCTCAGGTCTTGTTGGGAAACAAGTTTGGTTTCTGAACATGGTGCACCTGTTGGTTTGGTAGTTGAAGGCAAGCCAAAAGGATACCAACCATCTTTAGGGGACCCCTTTGATTATTTTGTCCGTTGGTTTTTCAAGCGTGCTGGTAGAATCGGGGTCCAGGAGAAACCCAGTCGAGTTGACCTGTTGAAGCCCACAAACATACCTTTTGGGGACCCTTGACAATCCAGGACGGAGTCAGAGTGGTCAGACTGTTCAAAGCTCAGCACGAAGTGACTGGCAGACTTGCAGACTTTGCAACACGCTCTCTTTCCTGGGGCTAAACAGACTTTTTGTGCATTTCCACAAACCCAAAGGACGCCTTTCTCAGAGTAGTTCCCTCCCATTTGGCCCCAAGTACATGAGGCAGATACCGCCCTGTCTACCAAGAAAGTTGTGAAGGTGTCCATAGGCTTACTTTCTGACCCCCGCGTTCCACCAAGAGCCGCCTACCCCTCGGGGCTTTTACGTGGGCCGCTGCGCGTTTGCTGCTAGAGACCTCCGCGCCCCGCGGGCCTTGAGGATGTACTTGGACCGCAGGCACTGGATGGGGTTCGTGGACAGGTGCGTGGCAGCCTCCTGGCACATCGCGGGAGTGGGACCCCGCCGAAATTTTCGAGCCCGCCGAAGGGCCCCAAATTGAAACTCATATCGAATTGGGTTGGGCAAACTTTGCTTCAAACAGCCAAATTTTGGCCGGCGTCGGAGGCAAACCAAAAGAACCAAACGGAGGCTGTATAACAATAGGTTTCTGAAACATGTTTGAACATGGGGTTGGCCTAACCCCAGCCATTTGGGGGTCTTAAGCATGCGCATGTGCACTGTTTTTGAATCAACACAACTTCACAAAGCAGGGGCCAACACCCTTCCTGCAGTGTTCACAAAGCAGGTTCTCCATGATGGGAAACAGCAGCAACACCCGTCACGCTTGATTGAAAAGAAGTGGGGCACTTGGAGCGTGAAGCTAGAATCGACTCAGTTGCCAAGCGCATGCCGATTGAACTGGGATTGTCTCAAAGTAGGGACCTCTTATAGGATGGTTTGAAAGGGACAAACTCCAGAAACGAGTGCCATTCCAGGTTTCCCGCCTTCCCAGCATTTGGTTCTGCATGTCTCGTAAGATAAACAAGCCGATTCTTGCAGGCCGGCAAACTCGCACCGCTCTCTTCCTGGATTCCTTTGCTCGCTCATGGATCCCCATAATGATTTCCCCCTTTGCTCCCTTTGAAAATCACTTGACCAAATTTCATGCGAGCTTGCTTTTGGAGGGGTGATGTTTAGGGGAAATTTCGGGACCCTCAAGGCAAAGGCTTCCCCTCGCCTGCTTCGCAACCTCCGAGAAAGGCGTCTTATTCTCCTCCTGGCGGCGCTGTTAAAACTGGAGCCCGGTGACCTCATGCAGCAGCACAAGAGCCACCTGTGAGTCGGCACCCCCGCGAATAGTGGTTGTCAGCCCAATGCCCCTAACCCGGCTGGTTTGAGGGTACCCGCAAAACAAAGCACAGCTCGCATTGGCCAACGGTTGGTGGCAAGAGGGTGCTTTACCCGGTCACTTGGTCATGCTTCAGCCGTGTACCGCCGAAAGGCACCTTGCGAAAAAGGGAACCCTGGCAACTGACGAGCGCACTTTGGCAGACCTTCACAAGCTGCATTCCCAACCCTCATCGTCTGGAATCCCACCTTCTCCGAATCCTCCCGGCACCTCGCAAAATGCTGCTTGGCATTCTAGGAAGCATAGGCGGTGATTGGCAGCTCATTTGGTGGGTCAATGGGCCTAGTATTGGGAAACCCCCCCCCCCCCTCCCCTCCTAAAAGGGGGGACCCCCCAATCAAATCAAGCTGGTGTTCTACTTTGATCCGGGGTTCCCATTAGGCAAATCTACACAGCCCCAGCTAGCCCGGTAAGATACACACGTTCGTGCTTTTGTGAACTCGCAGCTGGATGCTTCCAGAACCCTCCAAGCCCTTGGAGCATGCCCCTGATTGTATGAACGGACCCCCGATGAGAGGCTCTGTGTGCTCAAAACGCATGGAGGAAGTTCTTGGCATTGCACTAAGGTGTGGACATGGGCCTCTCTTTTGTTGAGGGTGCCCCTTTGTTGGACGGCTTCAAAAGGCAACCAAAAGGACTCCCATCCATTCTGTGGGTTGAAGACAACCCCAATCAAAAAAAAAAGTCTCAGCCAGGCCTCGCTCGTTCTTGGCTACGATTCATATTCTCCAAGAAAGAATCGGCCCCCTTGATCTTCGTCGAGGGTCCCAGTTTACTTCCACCAGGTCCGCCAGATTCTACTGAAATCTGGGGGAAAGATTTGCCCCAAAACGGGCGGGTTCCCGCTGGTTTCCCTTCAAACAACGCGAAAAGAGTACCGAGAATCTAAAAAAAAAAAAGGAAGGCTTCTCTGGGAGCATTGCAGGCCAAGGCACGGCTTCACCACCAGGTTCAGCCTAAAGCGACCCACCGAACTGCCATGGGTGGAAAAATGGTGTGTGTGTGTGTGTGCGCGTCTCTGGGACCAGCTCAAGTGGTGGTTGTCCTTGAACTGCACTTCGACAGGGGGTGGTGTCCCAAGAAAACCACGCCGAAATGTGTCTGTTTGCGCTTGGGCTCAGCGAAGCGTGCACACAGACCGAGACGAAACCACCCATGTTGGGGGATCCCCTATCCCCCAAATGGAAACGACGCACAGTGTGGAGATACACGTTCAGCAAGCTGAGCATGGAGCAAGGACGGCCTTTCTGTGCCGGAATACTCGAGCCCCTTATATGAAGTGGAAACAAGCCCTACCAAGGGCTCGTTGCCACCCCAAAACCTCTTCAACTGGCCAAAAGGTGATGTTGAACCCCCCCCAAAAAAAAACATACATATATATATATATATATATATACATATACATATCCACGCAACTCCAAACTTCCCCCACCGTAACCTCCCCAACCCCCCCACCCTCCCCCCATCCCCGGGCCAAGGCACAGCGTCAGGTGGATGACCACGTGCGCCACAAAGGCGCCGCACATGGCCAGGCCCAAGGTCTGGCCCTTCAGCACCTGGGCTTTGTTGCTTCTTTCTGAGGCTAGGGTAAAACCATCAAAGCCTTTTAAATGGGCCGACAGCTTAGGGTCGGTGTTTTAGGGTTGGGGGTTGGTTTAGGCCCTTCTGATGATGGCCGACAAAGCCTTTGAAATGGTTTAGAGGAAAACCTACATGATAACCACCTTTGTTGTTCGGGGGTGTCGCCCAAAAAGGAAGATAGACTCAGCGGAAACCTGATACCCATTGGTGAGAGCGCAAGCACATGTGAGCGAGTCTGGCCTAAAAACTTGAAGAAATTCAGAGCTCGTCCCCCCCCCACGTCTCGCCATACCATGCACTGGATGAATCTTAATTTAGATTTTCCCCCCCCCCCCCCCCCCCCCCCCCCCCCGGTAAAAAAAAAAAAAAACAAAAAAATGAAAATGTTGGCGTGGTGTTCCTCTTGGTCTCCCTTTAAACCGAGCAAGGGGTGCAGATCCTGACGACAAGACACACACCCCACAGCTTCCCCAAAGTCCCCGGGTCCCCGACTCCAGCGCCCAGACCGCCATGCACGCCCCCGCTCATCCTTGGCTCGCGAGCTACGGGGAGCACCAGCGAGCTGGACGGGGAGGGAAAATTGGAAAGAGAGCTGCGACTGAAAAATATTCCATGAGCTTGTTACAAGTTCCCTCACATGTCACAGGCGTCACCTGGTCTCTTCTTAAAATGAACATGCGCTTCACCTTTTTGTAGGGCACTTGATCGTTGCATCCTATGCGGTCCACATGACTCAACTACAAAGCCTGCCCGCTGCCGCGTCTTGGATCGGAAAATAAATGGTTAGCAGGGGGCGTACCTCGTTGGGTCGAATCCCCGCTCCAACTTGCATGACTTGAAACGGGCAAAGTGGTTTTGCTCCAGTGGCAAGGTATGTCGCCCTTCACCGTGATGAATGCAGGAATTCTCCCCAGAGTCCCAAAATGGACGGGAGGCTTCGGGACCCTGCCGCTCTTTTCATGGCTCAGAGAGAGAGAGATATGTGCTTACGACCAGCACACCCAGTTTAAGAACCGGCTGATGCAGCAAATGCCAAGAAAAAGCAGGTGTGGGTTTAGAGGTTCTACAGGGTCTGGGCGGGCTAAATCTACTTTGCACCACAGGGTAGGCGGTTTATCCCATTGTAGGCCTTCATCCATCCAAGCTTGGTGCAGGATTTTGTCCATCCACATGGAGGGACCCTGGAAATGATGGCTTTCATATTGGTGTCTCGTTGAACCAACTTGAAAAAGGGCACCCTCAAAAAACACACACACCAAATGTGTGGTGTGGATTGGTGTGTTCGAGGTGAGACTGGCTTTCGTTTGAGAGCCAAACGGTCAAATCCCCAACCCTCCAATCAAGGTGTCAACATGTGGCACCGGTGCGATGTCTCTTTGAGCCTGTAAACCCAAACCTGCCTTTTTGGGGGGGCATCCTTCAATCCTCTCCCCATCTCCGGCTGGGCCGCTGATTCACTTTGAAGACCAGCGCAGAGGCCAGCAGGCCCAGGGGCAGGCACAGCAGCTGCTGCCCAAACCAGTGCACCTCGAGAGATGCGGCTTCCTTCTGCTCGTGTGGCTTGGTCTTGGGTGAAGTTAGGCAACCCAAAGGACCTTGTGGTTTTCTTGGTGGGCTCCCTTTTGAAGCTAGGTGAGAAAAGGGTAGTTGCTGAAGTATTTTGAACTTTACACCAAGCTAAAACGGATAGCCGAAGGAGAATAACAAACACCCCTCGGTTGTTCTCCTCCATGGACAGATTTCTGCACGATCCACCGTCAAATCCTCAGAGTTTGCTTGCGAGGACCGTGTGTTGCCCAAAGGAATGCATCAAAACCGCATATAGTACTCACTTCCCGTGGATGGCCCAAAGAAAGTCCAAACTTTTCATTAACCCGCTCAAGTGGTCTTCCCAAAAAGTATATAAAGTCCAGGAAGTGAGAGTATGCTTCTATCTGCTGGATAAGCTTGCAGATTTGACAATAGATGCAAAGTTCCGTGCTTGCAGTGTGAGCTGAGCCGACCCTTGAAGACTGCACCATCTAAAATGGAGGTGTGTCCCTCACTGATAATTACATGAGTCGCAGTCAATATTCACCTGGGACTATGGTGAGTAACCCCCCATATCCTAATGGTATTGTGGTAAGTGCGCCCCATGTCCTTGCTAATTACCACAGATGACAGTAAATGCTGACCCGCTTTTCCTTAAATAGAGACTTCCGACAGGGGGTCCTTTTACGGTCATCCAGGGGAGCAGGGTGCTTTGACCATCCTGAGTACGGCAGCCTCATCGCTGGAGAAGTAGAACTTCCTCGCCCACCGCAGAGTCTTCCAGTGGTCGTAGAAGTAGATGTAACTGCGACGCCAAAACATCCACACGTCGCGTGAGTCGTTGCAACAACCAAGCCTCCCAACAGACCTCCCCCGGGATTAGGGCAAAATTCAACTTGTTGCAACCCCATTGAAGAGGACCTGAAAGAGGATGTGCCCTTTGATGAGTTGGGGGTATCTCCAAATGTGGGAACCCCCAACCTAGGTGGTCCCTTTTGTTTCCTTCAGTCAGCCCAAAAAGGGTACCCTCGAAAAGACACATCCACATGTTCCAAAGACTGTGTCCGATTCAATTTGGGACCCAACATTTCAAAAGGGTGCTGGTTGCAAACAGGTCCAACAGAAAGACACGTCTCCCCTGTTTCGACAGCCCCAGGCTCAGGCGATTGAATCAGCCGGTGCTATATAAGAAGCCCGGGAACGGCCGGCGTCTTCAATTGTGGCCGCTCCTTTAAGGGCGACATCCCCGAAAAAAGCAACAACGCCAACCCCAAGAAGGGCGATCGACCGTATTCGACACCAATCCGAAAGAGGGGCGGATTGGCCTCGAAACAGAGGCGGCACCAGCCCCTAAGATCTGTTTACCCCTCCAAAAACAGGCGAGACGAGAAACAAGTCACCCCCCCCGATTCGATTCCAGCGCCCAGCAGCATGTGCGAGATCATGAAGGTGCCATAGGTCATCAACATATATGCCTCGGGGCGCGTGGAGGAGCAGAAGGAGCCAAGAAGTTGGAGTCCATCTGTATTTGAGGAAGCCAACCTTTCAAATGGATCCACCTTTGTGTGAAATGAGAAACTGAGAAAATCGTACCATGGAATCCTACGCCGATGTGTACCCTTGAAAAGGCAAACGGCCTCCGACATTCAACCAGGGGCCAGGCCCGGCGGTCCACACGATCAACCACAGCCCCCACACTGCTGCGAACTCATGACTTCGCGAATTCCTGGCATTGCCTGCGGCTTGGGGTAATTTGTTTGGGCGTGGCCCCTTGAGTTACCCTTCTAGAGGTGAAATACCTCAAATATCCAAAGGAACGCCGGGCTCTCCACTTTGAGGGTGAGGCTTCAGTGCTTCCCCGTTTTGAGACATCCCCGGCGACTCTGAGAACCGATCTGGCGCGATGAAGGGGATGCAGGCCACGAGGATCAGGTTGAAGATCACATCCGCATAGCGGCCTTGCTCCATCTCCGACCTGAAACACATCAGGGCCATGCGAGTCAACCTAGGAGAAGGAAACCCAAAAATGGCCAAGCGCATCTCAACTGTTGGTTCAACTTTTGAATTCCGCCAAACTTTTGGTCCCCCTCAAAACAGACACACCCGTGTGCGCCTTTTTGCGCCGGTTTCTCCCTGGCTGACCTCGGCCATGACCCCCAAACAGCCCCCCAACCTCAGATCTCCGCCGTTCTGGTCCAAGTTGAGCTCCGTCGAACCATGGGCCAAACCAGACAAAACAAACAAACAAACAACAAAAAGCCCAAAACAAGACAACCAAGAAACAAACCAAACAATTCAAAGAAACAACCACCGACCAACCAATGAATCAACCGGCCAGAAGCAAGCAAGCAAGCAAGCAAGCAAGCAAGCAAGCAAGCAAGCAAGCAAGCAAGCAAGCAAGCAAGCAAGCAAGCAAGCAAGGAAGGAAGCAAGCAAGCAAGCAAGCAAGCAAGCAAGCAAGCAAGCAAGCAAGCAAGCAAGCAAGCAAGCAAGCAAGCAAGCAAGCAAGCAAGCAAGCAAGCAAGCAAGCAAGCAAGGAAGGAAGGAAGGAAGGAAGGAAGGAAGGAAGGAAGGAAGAAAAAAGCAAGCAAGGCAGGAAAGAAGGAAGGAAGGAAGGAAGGAAGGAAGGAAGCAAGCAAGCAAGCAAGCAAGCAAGCTAGCAGGCAAACAAACTAACAAACAAACAACCCCCCCCCCTGCCCCCCCCACCCCAAAACAAAACCAAACCAAATTCGTCAAACCAGACCGACAACACGACCCGAGAGGTGTGGACCAGGCGCAGCTCCAAGGCACGCTCCGCGTTCTCCCCCCGGACGCGCCTTGGGGCGTCTGACGGATTTTCGAGGCTGTCCATGGATCCGTTTGCGCGGGTTGTCTGGAGGGAACACACTGGTATGACAGTATGGGTCAAAATGAAACCACCAGACCGGAAGTTTTAGTCCCTGGGTACCAATTTACGAGGATTTCAGTTTGGGTACCAATGTTTGACCAACGGCCACATGTTTCTGGTGGCTTCCTGAATTCCTCATGGGTTTCTGGTGGCTGGAATTCGCGCCAGGAACACAATGAATCGAAGGCCCTGCTTCCTTGAAACCATACCAGCATCGAACATGCTTGGGTTGGTTTCTAAGGGAAACCAAGAGGAACACCCGCTTTTTGAGGTCTCCCTCTTTGGGAACCCTTTCAGCTCGCAATGCCCCTCTCAAATGAAGCACTGAAAAACTGACTTGCTTCGCCAAGAGGACATGGGAAGTTTACGTCTTTCTTGTTTAGTGCTCGTACCATGAAGCGAATCCAAAATGGATAGATCAAATCAGTTGCGTCTCCAACAACGAACCCGCGACAGCTGTGGGTCCCCCAAATTAACTGAAGGAGACCAAACAGGCGGCGCAAAAGGAAAATCCTCGAAACATGGGGTCGATGGGCTCCATGTTCTGATGTTCTATTGGGGGAGCCTTTAGCTGGGACCGAGCCTGGGAAACCAACATGGCACCATGGGAGGGGCACCTCCCTGCGCCCTTCTCTGGTTCCCGTCCGTGTTCGTGTCCGACAAGAACAAATCCAGCGGTGGGTCCCTTTGTGGGCGCCAGGGACTCCCTGATTGATTCATAACTGGGGGGCCAATGCCTTACCTAAGAGGCGGCGCTTGCCACCGAGCTGCACATTGCTGCGGATGAGCAAGGTGCCGATGTGATAAGGACCTTACATCCACGACTCTGGAGACGTTCGTTGCACTCACAGGATCCCGCCCCTCCAATATCAGGGGGTGGGGTCGGACAACCCCCGACCCCCCCCTCCCCCCCGACAAAGAGACTGCGGGGCCAAGTGCAAAACTTGGGGGTTGTGTGGTGCTCTGTCTTCGAAGGCCGCTTAGAAGGCCGCGGAAAACCTCTCCTCCCCGGGCACTTGCAGTTGCTCAAGGACCAGCAGTCGGAATCCACAACTAATGCTTAAAGGCGCCTCCAAAGCCGCGAGACAACCCCCTTGAATGCTTGTGCCCTTTTGGTTAATGGAAGTGTTTGAAGGGGGAGCCAGGAGGAAAGGCATTTGACGGGGCCCTATGAGGCAGACCCACTTGGCTCTTCCCTTAGGACAACTTTGACAATGGTTCGGGATCCTCGGTGGATGAGCCCTATCCACCCATGGCACATCTGACAGGTCGACCGCGTGTATCGGGGCATCGAAGTCGGTGCCGGGCCCCCGGCCCAGCTGAGCCACGAAGGGCTCCGCGATGAAGGGCACCAGGAAGGTGCAGGGCCAACCTGGCGATCCCATGGGCTCACGCCGAAAACCGGGAGGGGCCACCAACCTGCAGGTTCCCTGATTTAACAAAAAGAATGAACAACCAAGATGGGTAAAGTGAACAACCAAGATGGGTCGGAGTTTTTTTAGCTCGCCATCTTGCCCGAAATCACGAATCCCAGGACAGTCCCCTTCTCAGGAATTCCCCTTGGAGTATTGTGAGGCAGGCCCCCGACCTGCGATTCCAAAGTCTGAAAGGACCCCTGCCAATGGGTACGTGCGCCAGAATAGGTACAACCTCCACGAAGGGTGGGGTGTTCCCTCTGTTTCGCTTTAAGCCAACAAGACGACTCCGCGGTTTGGATAAGGTAGGTTTCTGGGGTTGGTTCTAGGGGAATTTAAAGGGGCGCCATGCACTTTGAGAGTGCAAACCCATGAGACAAACAACATTTTGCTGATCTGGGGTTGTCTCCAACAAACATATGGCCTGCCCGCATGGGACAATATCAATATCCTCTTCGCCTGAAAGAGGCAGGTTCGCAACTTGGCCCGCAAAAAGGAGTACATAAAGAATTCTTATATTTAGTCTACCCCCAAATATAGCCTAGTCTTGGGATCGGAGACCCAAGAAAAGAGGAACTCTCAAAAAGCAACACATCCCTAGAGGCCAAGTTGGGTGGGATTGGAGGGAGTGGAGGCCCCATCTAAAGCTTGGCTTCCTTGGCATGCTGCAATTATCTTGAAGGCATCTGTGCAGATGGAAGAAAATCTGGGGGCCATCTTGCAACTCTCAAACAGGTTGTTGGACTGATATCCAGGTTTGCTGTGAGCTAGCCAGCACTTCCAGTTTGAGCCTGTGCACGTCCTGGTGGTGGCAAGAACGGATCCAGACCCATGCATCAGCGCGGTAGACACGTTCAGAGAGAATCGTGTTTCTTTGAATTGGGGATCAGCGGGGCATCATCGGGCTTTGCTTCCACCAACCCTTTTGCGGGGTGTTCCCCATTTAGCACCTTGAAGCCTGGGTGCCATCTCCACAGTCAAGACTGATCGAGCAGTCCCCCCAGGCAGCAACTTGTTAAACAAAACAGTCTGGTATCACCGCCTTCAAAAGCAAGGCTTCAGGAGCTGAGCTGACTGTGTTTTTCGCGCCCAGAAAGTCGGTCTCAACATAGTCAATCCCCATGGGCTGGTTTGCTGTTGGTTACCCAATGGAATTTCCGCAAAAAGAAGGCGAAACACCCATCCGTCCGATTGCCAAGCTGACGAGGAGCAATACTTGAAGAGGAGCTTTCCCACAGACTTCTGCATGGGATATGACTCGAAGATCTCCTGCCAGCTAGGCTGAGGTCGCTTTAGTCCCACCCATTTTGGCTTCGTCATTCCCTTTACCCTTGTTCTTGGTGGCTTCCTTTGGTCGCATGCCAAAGTGTGCATGTGTCTCTGCACCAGGCAGGTTTTCCCATTTGCAGCAGTCAAGTCCTGGTCATACCGGATCAAAGGGAGACCAATCCTCAAACCCCCCCCCCCCCCCCATGAAGCGTCAAAACCCACCCCCAAAAAAAAGGAAAATTGAAGGACAGCCAGTGGACTGGAAAAGCCAACCAGGATCAAATCATGGCCGAGTCCTGATTACCTTCGACAACTCCAAAAACTTGGCCTGCACGCGTTGTTGAGAAAGGCCTTTGAGCATGACTCTTGTCTTCGGTGGCCACCCCAAACCAAGTGCTTTCTGGGATTCCCTTTAAAGCGGCCAATAAAGGTCAAAGAAAACCATGGTTTCATTTTCTTTGACTTGTCTGGCTCGCTGTGTTGAACTGTGCATCGCTCAAACCCCCCATCGAGTTACGATGTTCTGCCGGATCGGTTACATGGGTCTGTCTCAAACTAGGAAGGCCTTCAAAATCTTGGTTGCACCTTTGTTTCTCTTCAAAGCAACCCCCCCCCCCAAAAAAAAAATAAAAAAAGAAGAAAAAAAGGGGGAAACCAGGAAGGTTTCTGCAGCTATGCTACATCCCGGTGCCTTTGCAGCCAGGCACTTGGCGGGCACCAAGGGGCCCCAGTTTCTTACTTGCCCACATCCCCACACAAACACAAAACAAAACAAAAAGAAACGGAAATTAACGGTCCACCGGTGGTTGGCCATCTCAACTTGAGATAGGTTCCGAATATCCACCCAATACATTGGGGACCAAAAAGGATGGTGGCCCCTGCGGATGTCCCTTCAAACCAGCCTGCAAAAACTATCTTCAAATTGCATGCACACGCTCAAGATTGAAGTCCCTAAATTGTTATCAATCCAAAGTGGTCCACCATTGTGAGAATCTCGCACATCAAGGTGTCTTGTTATTTGGGGGCTTGGTTTACAGGGAAACCATAAGGAAGCCACGTTTGATGAGGGGTTTTTTTCTTTGGGACAAACCCATGAGCTATGTGCTTTTCTGGTGGTTGCACTGTGGTTTCCGTTAAAACAAGCACAACTCAGAAAACACACACCCATGTGCGTCCCAATTGCCCAACGGCCATGGCTCAGAAAAATGCGCGCGCCCCCCACGGTCTGGGAAAATGGTTTCAAAGACATGTAAAGAATTACAGTTGGTATGGCAAAACCTGTGGGTGGCAAAGGAAAAACCGGTGGTATGGAACCTGTGGTATGGCAAAACCTTTGGTATGGAAAAACCTGTGGTATGGAAAACCTGTGATGTGGCAAAACCTTTGGTATAGCAAAACCTGTGGTATGGAAAAACCTGTGGTATGGAAAAATATTTGCTCTGGAAGAACCTGTTGTGGTATGGAAAAGCTTGTGGTATGGAAAAACCTGTGGTATGGCAAAACCTGTAGTATTGAAAAACCTGCGGTCTGAAAAAAGCTCTGGTATGGAAACACCTGTGGTATGGAAAAACCTGTGGAATGGAAACACCTGTGGAATTGAAAAGCAGGTGGTATGAAGAAACCTTTGGTCTGGAAGAAACTGTGGTATGGAAAAACCTGTGGTATGGAGAAACCTTTGGTCTGGAAGAACCTGTTGCGGTATGGAGAAGCTTGTGGTATGGGAAAACCGTTGGTGTGGCAAAACCATGCCACAGGCTTTTGCCATACCAAAGGTTTTTCATACCACAGGTATTTCCATACCACCAGCTTTTCCGCACCACCGGTTTTTCCATTCCGCAGGATTTGCCATACCAAAAGTTTTGCCATACCACAGGCTTTGCCATACCACAGGTTTTGCCATACCACCGGTTTTTCCATACCACAGGTTTTTCCACATTGCAGGTTTGCCGCACCACAGGTTTTTCCATACCAGAGGCTCCTTCATACCGCAGGTTTTGTCATACCAAAAGTTTTGCCATTCCACAGGCTTTGTCACACCACAGGTTTTGCCATACCAAAGGTTTTGCCTTACCACAGCTTTTTCCATACCACAAGCTTTTCCATATTACTGGTTTTGTTATATTTTAGGTCTTTTTGTATTAGAGGTTTTTTCAGACCGCAGGCTTTTCCATATGGCAAGACCTTTGGTGTTGAAAAAACGTGTGGTGTGGAAAGACATGTGGTATGGAAAACCTCATCGTGATTTCTTGTGGAAATTTTGATGAATCGTGATGGGGAAATATCATAGGGACGTGTCGGATCTTTAATCACGATGGGGAATTATGCCCAACCTTCAACTATGTCGCCTTCTCGAACATAGATGCAGGGAAGCGGTGAACAACCTGCCGACCTAAAAAGACCAAGCTATTGATTTTGGTTCATGCGCCAGGTGATTCCACCTCTATGGTAGCCAGGAATCTTGCCCTCTTCCCAGCTGCAGCCAGTTAAAGGAGTGGTTCTGTTTGTACACAACGCGCTTGATGCTTGAATCATGTTGTAGCGTTGCATGGGTTGTGGTGTCTGACCGGAGTAAACGCAGTGCTACAAAGTGTGGTGCAGTCAAAGCAGCCTGTTAATCAAGGTCCAACCTCACACAAGCTTGCAGTCCAGAGCGCGCTGCCGGGATAGAACAGCAGCTCCCAGCTGGCATGATGCTTAAGGCGCACAAAAAGCGATTTCCAGGCAGCTTAAAGTTTTGCTCCAATGGGACTTATTGCAGTGATGCTGTCAGCTCACACTGGTGACAGAACACGATCTTGGTGGTGCAGATTGAAGGCTTTTTTGTCCTGACAAGCTGTCACGACTCATACCAAGATTCATGTGTGATAAAGCTCATATCTACGCTGGAGCTAACGCCACCACATTCGCGGAAGCAAACCACCCTGAAGTGCGCGAGCCGAACTGCATGCGCTGCAAGTTGTGGTGAGTCCCTCCACAGCTTACGCACTTCTTTTGCCAGGAGGCTTTGATCAACTCTGATCATTAGCAGGCGCACTGGCTGCAAACTTAGCGCGCAGCAAAATCACACATCGCAAATCGCCCCGATTTTACGAATAGCCTTGAGGAATGATATTTTGGCTTCGCAATTCAGAATCTCATTCCGGAATCGCATGTTTCGCGGTTTGTGCACTGGCTTCGGTATGGAACAGCTGTGAGTATGGCAAAACCTTCGGTATGGAAAAACCTGTGGAGGCAAAGCCTTTGGTATGCAAAAGCCTGTGGTATGGAAAAGGCGTTGGTATGGCAAAACCTGTGGTATGGAACTTGTGGTATGGAACAACCTGTGGTATGAATCAACCTGTGTTATGGAAAAAACTTTGGTATGGCAAAACCTTTGGTATGGAAAAACCTGTGGTATGGAAACACCTGTGGTATGGAAGAACCTGTGGTATGGAAAACTTGTGTTATGGAAAACCCTGTGGTGTGGACAAACCTGTGGTATGGAAAAACCTGGTATGGCAAAACCTTTGGTATGGAAAAACCTGTCAGTATGGCATCTGTTGGTATGAAAGAACCTTTGGTATGGAAAAACCTGTGCCTTTGGTAAGGCAAAACCTGTGGTATGGAAAAGCCATTGGTACTGCAAAACCTGAAGTATGACAAAACCTGTGGTGTGGCAAAACCTTTGGTATGGGAAAACCTTTGGTATGGAAAAACCTGGGGATGGAAAAACTGGTGGTGCGCAAAAACTGGTGGTATGGAAATACCTGCGGTATGAAAAACCTGATGTATGAATCAACCTGTGGTGTGAAAAAACCTTTGGTATGAAAACACCTTCCGTATGGAAAAACCTGTGGTAAGGCAAAACCTTTGGTATGGAAAACCTGTGGTATGGAAAAGGCGTTGGTATGGCAAAACCTGTGGTATGAAAAAACCTGTGGTGTGGCAAAACCTTTGGTATGGAAAAACCTGTGGTATGGAACTTGTGGTGTGGAACAACCTGTGGTATGAATCAACCTGTGTTATGGAAAAACCTTTGGTATGGCAAAACCTTTGGTCTGGAAAAACCTGTGGTATGGAAACACCTGTGGTATGGAAGAACCTGTGGTATGGAAAACTTGTGTTATGGAAAACCCTGTGGTGTGGACAAACCTGTGGTATGGAAAAACCTGGTATGGCAAAACCTTTGGTATGGAAAAACCTGTCAGTATGGCATTTTTTGGTATGAAAGAACCTTTGGTATGGAAAAACCTGTGCCTTTGGTAAGGCAAAACCTGTGGTATGGAAAAGCCATTGGTATTGCAAAACCTGTGGTATGACAAAACCTGTGGTGTGGCAAAACCTTTGGTATGGGAAAACCTGTGGTATGGAAAAACCTGCGGAATGGAAACACCTGTGGTGTGGAAGAACCTGTGGTATGGGAAAACCCGTGCTATGGAAAGCCCTGTGGTGTGGACAAACCTGTGGTATGGTAAATGGTATGGGAAAACCTGGTATGGCAAAACCTTTGGTATGAAACAACCTTTGGTATGGAAAAACCTTTGGTATGGAAAAACTTTTGGTATGGAAAAACCTGTGAGTATAGCATTTGTTTGGTATGGAAGAACCTTTGGTATGGAAAAGCCTTGGGTACATGATTACAGCTACAGTTGAGTCACAATCAAAACCCGGTATTAAAAACATGGTCTAGCCAGAGCCATGTAAAGAATTAAGAAGGCGGCCGCAACTATTTCTGGCTGGGACTGCCCCTTACTAACCTTCCTCTACCCAGATAATTTTGATGGTGACTCAGTTGGTATGGAATTGCAGTTGCTATAATTTACCCCACTTCGAACTCCCTTGCTCCTGGAAGCTCGAGAGGCTGCCCAGCAGGCGCCCATCGGCCACCCGAGCACCCACACCCACCATCTGCAGGTAGCTGAGGTAGCCTCCCGGGCAAGGGACCTTCTCGCTTGTTTGTTTGGCTTTTTGTTTGTTGGTTTGGTTTAGTTTGGATTGGTTTCTGCCTTGGTGCTGTTTGTTTGTTTGCCTGTTTGTTTGCTTGCTTGTTTGCTTGTTTGCTTGATAGTTTGTTTGTTTGGAATGCATGATCTGATCTGATCTGCGTTTGCTTTTGCTTTGATTGATTTGAGTTATTGGAGTTGTTGGATCCAACCAAAAAGCCAACACAGGCGGAGATGGGAGTTTCTACCAAAACTAGGCCAAACAGTTTGCCAGGACCCTGCAAAAAGTGTGGCGAAAGGGATTGTTTTTCGTGAATGGGTCCAAAGGCCACCTCTCTACTTGATCCGACGACACTGCAAAATTGCGACTGTAAGGAAGACCCAAAAGGGCTTACTAGTAGCTGACTAGTAGGTTTTACATTGTTGCGCACAAAAACGTATGGCCGTGTCTAGGCAAACCGAAGACCCTGAATGGCAGGAAGGAGTCGGGAGGGAGGGCGGAATGGCAGGAGGTCAGCAGCAAGTGTTCAGACCCGTGACCCTGACGGCAAAGGGATGCAAGCCCCGCACCCCAAGGTCAATGTGGCACAATGACACATAGCTCTGGCGCAGGAATTTCGTCAATGGGACAGTTGGGCTTGTGTACCTTCCAAACACCAGCAAAACTAAATTGAGAGTGCGAGGTTTCACAAGACTGTTTTCGTTCAGGTGGTGTCTTCGGTCACATCAATCAGGACTTGTGAGACAAAGAACACCGCCATTCTCAAGGTGTACACTGCTCCTTGGCTCTTGAGTTGATCAAGCTACGGAGGCAGAACACACAATAACCAAAGACAAAATCCCTAGGACAAACCAGGAGGCTGAAGCAAAACTTGGCCCACATCTGGGGTGCACAGCAAATATGTAATATGTTATAAGTCATTGATGGAAACATGTGGAAATCCGCAAACCGCGCCAAGTGAGGCCCGATATTTGATCTTTGCCCTAGTTTTCTTCCAATCTGTCAATTTGTTGCGGCGAGTACGAAGAGAGTGGGATGTTCAACCTTTCCTTGCCCCGGGGCAAATTCAAGCTTTGCCGAGTCGGCAGGGCAAGTTGCTGAAGATAGGAAAGCCTTCTTCTGAGTGGTTTTGGTCCACGTCAGCGGACTGGCCGGGAGTTTGCATGGACCAGGGGAGCAAAAGCAACCCGGGACCTGGGGTGCCATGGTCCAGGGACTGGTGGTCCATCCCTACCAGCTGGAGACGCCCTGGCAGGCGCCCGGAAAGTGCCGCAGAGTTGGCATTCCACCGGAATCTGCTCAAATCGCTGGCCCAGAGGACCAAAACATCAAAGGTCAAAGGGTCTTAAACGTGGTTTGCACAACACCAAAAATAATCAAAAGGGTTGCTTGCCGCGGCTACTTATGGCTGGGGCAGTCCCTTTCTACACCGCATTTGCCCGAGTTTCGGTAGGATCCGGGCCTTGCAGCACAATGTCCATGATCAAGTTCAGGATCAGAGCAGCGTTGTAGAAGACAATGTACACCTTGTGCTTCTGATCCTCGCGCAGAAAAACCACTTTGGGGGGGGAGGGGGTTTGAGGTTGCCCCGTTTGTGAAGGGAGACAAAAGGAAAACCGCCCATTGTGGCTCTCAGTTCCCAAGTTTGGAGGCCTTCTGCACCCACCAACGCCTCATGGGACGTCTTCTTTGCTTGAGGGTGCCCTTTGGAGCGTTCAGCAACCAAAAGGAAAGAAACCATTTTGGCGGTCCCCCTATTTTTGACACTCCAGCCCTCATTGCAACCGCAAAGTATTCACTTCAAACCGTGACCGAGCGGATTTGCCCCGGGCCTCGTAGTGGCACTGGCCTTGCACGCCGTTGCTTCGGGCAACGCTTTGACTTCCTGCGAATGTTGTTCCCTTTCCCGAAGTCTGAAAATCTATCTCTGTACAACACTGCCTTGTTGAGCCATTCAAAGAAACAGACCCTAGGGCCCCCCCCTTAGGGGGAACTACAAAAAGGCTGTTTAAGCAATCGCTTGAACAAGCTCGAATCCCCCAACCCCGGAAGAGCCAAACAAATTAAAAGAGTCCAGCAAAAGGAGAACCCTCCTTCACAACGGATGGGTTCTTTCGGTGGAACAGAATCGAATCGAACCCTTCGAGCTAAACACGGTTCTGTCTCATAGGCAAAAACAGCCGTTCTGTGATACCAACGCTGGTCATTCTCCCGACTACTTCATCACTTTGAAAGGGATCCCCTTACTACCGGCCCCGCAGAAACAGTCAAAATAATGGCCCCAGCAATTACTCACTTGCGCAAAGGACCTGGAAATAGAAGGTTGACCTTTTTGGAACCTTGACCGAATTTGGACCAAAATGGAAAAACGGTCGATTCGGTTTGAGCGGCATCTGAGAATATCACAGAAAGTGGCAGCCTAAACCACTTTCCCACATTGGGAGTATGCCTTTTTAGGGGACACAGCAACATGGTGGTTTTCCTTCTGGACCCACATCCTCCCTTGCACTGCCCCAATTTCCGGGCGCCCGGCAGAAGTCCGCGCCCAAGCTACTGGCCACGAAGAGCCCCGTCTGCGCGCCCACCACGAGGCCAATGAAGACACCTCCGATGTCCCAGGACATGGGACAAGGGATGTTGTTTGCTCTTCTTTTTTTTCCTTTTTTCTTTCGGGAAGGTTGGGTGATTCCGAAATGTACCTCCCAAATCTTCCATAGATGAAATGTTGAAGCGATTCTCACATAACAATGGGTGTACCTTGACGTAGGAAGAAAAATGTGGTTTGGCAGTTTGGGTGGAGTGCTTGCTGCGCTCACCCGAAAAGCGCAAAAATCGAGGGTCCCTATGTATGTGGGTCTGTCTCAAAATTGGGAAACGGCACCCAAAACCACAAGCACAAGCGCGCGCGCAAACAGCAGGCAAGCCAGGCCAAGCCAGGCCAAGCAAAAAAAACACGCACACACAGCTTGTTATCATCATACCAGTTGTTATGAGAGCCATCCACGAGCAAAATCGCAATCCTGGAGAACGTCGTTAGTATTCAAGGGAACCAAGTGGTGCTCCTGTACTCTTGGGAATTTGGGTGCTTTTGTCTTTTTGTCTGTCGGTTTGTGAGCTGCAAGGCTTCCGGTTGGGTTTGCTCCAAGAGCGTCGCCAGGAATGCCGAAGCACAGAACACTGGGTGCTTCTTAGGGGGTCTGTAAAATTTTGCCCAACTACCCATCCCATGTTAGTGTCCCTTTCGGTAAATCAAATAATCATGGACACTTCGAATCTATTCTACACCAAAGCCACACAACCAATACCCTAAAGAAAGCTGCCCGGAAAAATAGACCCTGAGTGTCCATCACAAAGTGTTGCTCAACTCTCCCTATATAAAATCACTTCAAATTGGATTTCCCAAAAGGTAATGTTCAACCCAACCCAAAGTAGAAATGTTGGGAGCCCTGCCAAATATTGCGCGATACCCGCAGAACCATTTGGGGAGTGGGTCAAAATTTGGTACCCAAAATGAAACCCTGGCAAATAGAACCAAGGACTAAAACGTGCGGTCCCCTTGTAGTTTCATTTTGATCCATACCGTCCATACCCATATGGCCATGGGTCATAACGTATGCCTCCATTTTGGGGCGGATGAACAACCATGTACCATCTATTTTGATGTTCACCAGGGGTACAGGGTTTTGACCCACAGCCATATGAACTGGGGAGTGGGCCTTTTCAGCTTCAGACCTTCAGACCGCCCCCTTCCATCCAAGGCGCTCTCTGCCAGGAAGCTGGGCTCGTCGCCGTTGGCGTAGGAGAAGGTGGCCCTCGGGGGTGCGCAGGACTGGTACCCTGTCCATTGGAACCTGACGTTCGGGGCTCGGTCCCTTTAAAAGGAACATGGTCCAAACCAGGACCCCCCCCCCTCAGGTTACATGTTAATTGGTGAGAGGGTGGTCGGTTGTTCATTTGGGTCATAATCAAAACAGATCGATGTTAGAATGGTCTGCCCAGAACCATGTAAAGAGTCAAAAAGGCAGCGTATCCCAAACTAACCTTTACCCTTGTTCTGATTGTGGCTCATTTGGAGAGCAAATGGAGGGCCTACCCAATATCCCACGACTTTCTCATGACGAATAGGCCTACCCAATTGAATCAACTGCAAGTATGAGTATCCATGGCGTCTATGGTGCTTTTCAATAAAGTTGGGGTCTTTCAAGGGATGGTAAGGGGACCTGGCTCCCGAATTTCGAGAAACTCTATGAGTCGAAATTTGAACCTGTCAAAATGGCGGCACCGATTTTTGGCTGCTCCCCTACTAAACGTCTCTGACCCGTTGTCATTGTGCCTCATTATTATGTCTGTTGTTCAGGGGGGCCCGGCCCCATTTTGATACATGCATGTGTCTCTTTGAAGAGTACCCTTTTGGTTGGTCTCAATTGGAAGCCAAAAGGAAACCCACCATTTTTTAGGGGGGGGAGTCCCCAAAAAAAGACACAGCCACAGCCCTTGGGGGTGCCTTCAGAAAAGCTTTCCGGGGATGAGCGTGAGGCTACTGACGGGTGGCATGTAGTGCGCATAGGGCAGGTAGAGCAGGACAGTCCAGGCCAGGCAAACCAGGAGAATGTTGACCTTGGGTTCGTGCGTCTGTGGGTGTATGTGCTTTTTGGAGGCGAAATGTTACCCTTTTTGCACTGGATTTACAGGGACACCAACAGGAAAGCCCACTGGATTAGGAAACAAGCAAAAGGAAATTCAAAATCCATTCTTGAGGTGCCCCTGTTTAGAGGAACCGCCTCTTGGGTCAAGCTCCGGTTTGGGTTGCGTCCACTTGTTTGAAGGGGACTATCACAAGCATTGGTCCAAGCAGTCGGACCCCGCAAAATGGGAACTGGTTGCTCAATGGGCCTGCAAACAAGGCGTCCAACTCAATGGACCAGGCAAGGTCGCTCACCAAGGTGCCGCCCACTCAGGTTCCTCGTGTTCTGGCTGGAAACCCACCAAACAGAAAGCATGATTTCTCACTTCCTGAGTGGGCTCTCCAGATTATCTGCTTACCCTTTTCTATTGAAACGGTCCAAACCAAAGAAGTTGTCATAAACTGCAGAGGTAACTAACTTCATGGCCTGTTGGCAATCCCTCTGCGGCTGGGAGCCGTGCAGGGAAGAGGGAGAAAATGGGTTTCTCGACATGGTGTACCCCAAGCCAAAAGGAAACCGCCCGCGTTTCTTGTCCCGTATGATTCACACTAAGCCTAAGGTTGTAGTCTTTTCGTTGCTCATCATTCTGGTGATACAAGATGGTGCAAGAGTTAACCCAGTGTTCAGACCGAACTTAGAGGGTAGTCCGGTAGAGCCGAAAGCCGTCCAGCTTTCCGACAAATCTTCCGAGCCGCGCTGGCGCTCATGTACTTCCCACCGCGCCCCTCCGGCGTCACGTGCAAGTTGTGCCAGAAAAGGGCCTCGGCCATCCGAGTCCCGAAAGCTGTCAACACCCCCTTGGCCCACATCCAAGCACAGAACATAGTATCTTTGTTCTAGAACATAGTATCTTGAGGCGTTCCATAGTTGGGCGGGTCACTTTTAAGAAAAAGGGTCCGCAAAAAAGAAAGAAAGAAGGAAACAAAAGAAGGGAAGAAATAAGGGGGAAAAAAATAAACGTCGATGTTTGGTGTGGAGACCCCAGTTTCAAAGTAATCCAAGGGTGTCCAGCTCTGTCGCCCCCGCGCCTCTGGCTCGTACGTCTCCGGGCGCAGCGTGCACACGGCATCCTGCACCTTCACCCCTGCCTGCGGAAACGAGAAATCAGCTCGGTTTCCAGCCGGGGGAACAGCCAGGTGTCGAAAAGCTCCAAATCCCCCAGCCTTCCACAAACAAAATTTGGAAGCGCCAAACATGGAATTGCTCAAAAAGGAATCCGCCCCCCCTCCCTCCCTCCCTCCCCAATTCCATCTTGAAGGGGCCTGGAAGATCACGTTCCTCTTAAAGTGGAATGGCGCGTGCGGTTCTAATTGGTGGGAAGTCTCAGCCTGGCTGTTCAAAATGATTGTGGAGTCGCCTATCCATCCATATTGGAAAAGGTCCCCCGAGGCGCCAAATGGGTGTCTTTTTTAGGGGACCTCCCCCCCCCCCATGAAAAGGCAGGTTTCTTTCGGTTCCCCTTCAAAAACCACCAAAACCGGGGGAGCCTCCAAAAAAAAGACAGGACCTCAAATCCTGTCATTCATGAATCCCCAAACCAAAGAATCCCCTTAATTGTTCACTATTGCAGCGCGATCCAAAGGCCAAGTCCTTTCGCGTTTCGTCAACGGCTTCCAGCCTGCGCGGCCTCCACCGCCTTGTCCCTGCAGCGGGAAAAAAAACAAAAACGAGGCGAACCCCCCCCCCCCCGCCCGGGGAACCCACGTTGGCTGGGAGTTTTTTTTTTTGGGGGGGTGTGCCGGCCAGCCACTTGTAAAAACAACATGACTTAAACCACGGATTGGTCAAAGAACGCACCTCCTTTTTGGCTTCGTTTGGAAAGGGGAGGTCTTGATCAAACATATCAAACCAATTTTTCCCAACCCTGTTTCGCGAGAGCAATCCCTCACCCTCTCCACTCTGCCAAATCACTCTCCATGAGCAAAAGGTCGATCACCTTTTGTAGGTTTAATGGACATCCCAGTTTCCAAAGGCCTTTGGGCGAGTCGGTCACGCCAAAAACCAGCGAAGGGGGCAATTGGCAGGCAGAAAGTGTCCCTACGCTAGGGGTTGCACGAGAAGCATTCAAGGGACCTGCGGCAAGAAAAAACAGGATGGGCCAAGCGCGCCTACATGAGCCATGTTCAAAACTCCTTAAATGGCCTAATTACGGTCATGGTTCCCTTCACACGAATCATTATAATGGTCGTTAAGGATCCTCACTACCAGGTGGATGACCACCCCTGTTGACCCCAAGTCAGCAGGTCTTTTGACCATGCCACATATTATGTTGCAAAGGGCTGGACCTCAGACCCTCGGCGGCAGCACGGAGGTCGCCTCGCACCCTCCGTCATGAAAATAACGTAGGACACCGGCGCCGTCTCCATCTCCTGCAGCGTCTTCCTTGGCGAGGTCCGATGGCCGTCGGTCGGTTCGAGCTGCTGAAGGCACGTTGGCCAAGCGGCAAAACGGTCAACCAAGCAAACGAGCCGTGCCTAAATCCTATCAATGATGGTATTCAGACCGTATAGGCAGTTTCTCTTCAGGCTCTTAGCAATAGAATCGCTTACCATTTACTCATGGTTTCCACACTTTTGGATGCCCACAACAGCGAGACTAGGGCCCCTGTCCTTTTCCCCAACCTCCCCAAAAGGAAAAATCCGCCTTCTGACCGGTCCAAGTGATGTTCAAGCTGGCCTTGGGTAAGCTCGGGATCGGAAAGCGGGGGAGTTCGGGGCGCTGAAACCGCCACGAGCCGCTTCAAGTCCTCCTCGGTGAACTCGTGCCCATGCCCATCCAGGTGGATGTGCCTGAGGCCGCCGAACCAGGCGCAGGCGCGGCCCACCAAAGAAGGCGACACGGGGTCTTAAATATCTTGGCCCACATCTGGGAGGGAGACAGAAAATCAGAGTTTTGAACTATGCTCAGATTTGTTCTACTCTAAAAGATAGAATAGCTTTGGAGGAGACCACAGTCATATTATGCAGATGAACATGGCCTGAAATGGCGTCCGCCTGGTCTGGTTGGGAATGGTATAGTGTCCTAAAGCACAAAATTGCATCTTTTAAGCAGCCCTGTTGTAGGGGAACATATGTTGGACATTCACGTAGGCAGCGCTTGTTCACCCATTGACTGCTGGCTCTACTAACCTGGCTATAAAGAACTGCATAGGCTTCAATGACCCCAACCAAACCAGGTCGTAGAACCACCCACCAAAATTGCCAATGGGGCGCTGCTCAGATGGGTTCTTGCTTCAATAGTCTGCCACTTTTGAGGGTGTTTTCTCTGCTAACCCTCCCGCCCACATTGCAATGGAACCCGCCATAGGGTCCGTTTTACAGTTGCAGGAAAATTGTCTTCAAGGACCCCCGGATAAAAATTGGGACTTGAGGAGCGGGTGAACGAAAGCTAGCAGTTGTTGCATGAGATGGGTCGGTGACAGAGTGGATTCATAGGTAGCTTGTGTACAACGAGAGGCCCGGCAAGATTTGTAGGATGCGGCACGCAAACGCACATGGTGGCGTGGCAAACCTTGAAAAATGAAAATTAAAGGGCCGGATAACCCCACAAGTCTATGCTTATTGAAGTATGCGACACTTGCATCTGCCGAGCAGCGAATAATCCCAAATCCGAGACATGCAAAGACCCTCACATGCAAAACCTTCACGCACTCAGCTATGTCGAAAACTCTCAGCACTTTGTTTTTCGCTCTGGCAGATCGAGGGGTCGCACGAGCCGCGCGCGCGACAACATCCTATCCCTTTAGACAGCTGCCAAATGCTGCCCCTGCCACGCAAACACACGCTCAAATGCACAGAATGCTGCGCCTGCCACGACTTCGGCAGTGGCATCTCCAAAGTGCTGCGCCTGCCACGATTTCGCGCGCCCCGAGCCGCGCGCGCGACAACATCCCATCCCTTTAGACAGCTGCCAAATGCTGCCCCTGCCACGCAAACTCACGCTCAGATGCACAGAATGCTGCGCCTGCCACGACTTCGGTAATGGCATCTCCAAAGTGCTGCGCCTGCCACCCATCCATGCTGCCTTCAATCTCATGAGAAGGATTTCGAATTTTGAGGTAAAAATGAGGAACTCTTGGTTCTGCCTTCTATGGTTGAAGAAACTGAGGAGTCTGTACAGATACACGTTGGTCGCACCTTTCAAAAAGTACTTCTTCAGCGTGTTCTTGAAATAGTTGACTCCTTCATCAGGATCTTGCAAAAGGTCATTTTGGAGGACTGCCTTGTACATATATGCATCTCCAGTAAGTCTACTCTTCAGAGAGGTCCTCTCTTTGGTGCTTCCACCGTTGTGATGGTCACCCAGTCGTCCACGAGTTCTTCATACCTGAACCAGCTGACTTTTCCGTCGTACGATGGCGGCTGCTTGGCGGTCATCGATAAATTTAGTGTTTCCTCCGTATAGCTCGGCTTTGCCGAACTTGTATAGGTTTCCATGAAGCCTTCTCCATCTGATGACATCTTCCCTTGGATCTCTGCGGAAAACCCGCTCCGCTACCACAAATTGAGGCCCACTGCCCCAGGTGCCTATCCCCGAAGGGAACTGGAACCCTGTGGTAGTTGAGGTCGTTGTTGGTCCCTGGATCTATTCCGCAAAAAGAGTCGGATGGTCGTGATTATGCAAAAGGGGCCCTTGAGCCAAATGTTGCGGGAGATCAATGGTCTGAAAAACAGAACACAGGGGGAGGGGGGGGGGGGTCTAAATAATTGATGTTTTTCAATCTTTTCGGCTCAAATAATTGAAAAAATCAATCTTTCGGCATTTGAGCCCCTTACCTTGCTTACGCAAGGAGAAACTTCAGCTAGCTAAAGCTAGCTTTCGGGAAAAGCGTGTTTTTTTTGGGCTGGTCTCGTGACACACCCAGAAATGAGTGGTCCCTTTCCGTTGCCTATAATGGCTACGGCTCTGCTGCGATTTGTGGGCCCAGTAAAAAGGGGAAACATGCACGATTCTGCATGGCTTGATTCGCAGAATCTTCGAAAGTGCTGTGAGCGCCAAACATGCCCGGAATCAACACGGCGGATTTCAGCGAACTGCACGTGTTCAACTCTGGCCCGGAGGTGAGGAAGTGAGGCATTGAGACTCCCCCATCCCCCTTCAATATAGCCTGCTCCCTCCCAAAAGAAAGCGGAGCAAAAACTCGGAGCGGGACACTATGTTGGCTACCAAAACAAGTCACCCCTCCAACGCCTACCGTCTCACTACTCGTTGTTCAGCCCGTTCCACCCACTCACCGGCTCTCCCAGCACTTGCGCACTTCAACCTCCTGTCCACTGGGTGATCAAAGATCTAGTAAGAACATGGGAGGTGGGGGCGTGGCTTCATCGCATGCACAAACTGCCAGCTGGGTGACGGTTGCTTTCGGATGCTACGTGATTGGCCTTTGATGCAAGCCTTCTAGAACCCGTTTTATCAGAGAACCTGCTAATGAAGGAATGCCCCCAAACTGAACCTTTTTGTAGTCCCCCTGACGGGGCAGCCAAAATCCCTGTTGATTCCCTAATTGACGAGAGCCAGGAGGGTTTGGGGTCCAAATTCTGCCAGGCCGCCACTTGTTCAGGACTTTCTTGGTGATCGCGCCAGCGAAGCCGCTCAGCTGGCAGCGATTTCGTGGAAGTTTGTCGGGCGATTCGACATTTCGCGACCGGGCCGACCGGCAACTGACCTCTGCCAGTTGAACCGCAAATGGGGGTTGATCAATGTTCCTGGTCCCCAAAGTGATCATGAGTAACTTTGGCCATTTAGTGGGATATATGATCCTTTTCGCGGTTTTCCCCGTGGTCATCCCATACGGAGCAGGTTCCGGAGGCTCTCCACGCGAGAAAATCCGACTGAGCAGTGGCTCAGAGCGGAGATACCTGGTCTTGTTTTGGACGCCGCCTTTTGCATGGCTTCTGGCGATCCTGAAATGCTTAACTTGTTGCTGGCTGGAAGGGAAAATTCAGGCAAGCACAAAGTGAAAAAGGAAAGCTAAGTTTGGCAATGCTTCCGAAGCACCACCTAAAAGCCACCTGGTGCAATTAAACAACCGTTTGAAACCACTGGTAAGAAGTGATTTGCAGCTTGGCCATCCTTTCGGGAACCCTGCTTGAAGGGCCCTCAATTTCGCCAGGGCTCCTTCCTCACCATGTTCCAGGACCAGTTCAGCACAGCGCGGCTACAAAAAGGTGCTTTGTTCGGCTGACCCCAGCTACCCTGCCAGACCGACAGCCGAAAACGCCCCTCACCTCATCGCCAGCGCCCTCGGGGATGTGCAACGGCTCCCCGTTGGCTTCATGGAAGGGCGCGATCTGACCGCAGAATGCGGAGCATGTTTTAATGAGTTGAAGAATGGTTTCCACCACCCCAAACCGCAAGGAAGAATTGATTTCTTCAAATGAAAGATGGTTTCTACTACCCCCAACCACAAGGGAACATGGGCTGCAAAGGGGTAAGACCACTGCGAGAGGAGTCCCACAGCCCCTACAGTCCGGTTCATTCAATTCCCCCCCCCCCCCGGCCCCTCCTCCCCGGGTTGCCTGGAGGTGCTGGGCTGAGAATTGCGCGTATGATTCTCTTTTTTAAAACGTAGCTCACAACCCCCTTCCACCATTCCAGGGTGAGAATGGCCGACTGCTTTGCCAATGGAAGGCCATTCTCCATCTGGAAGGGGCAACGGTTCCTTGGTATCACAGAAGTGTTGCTTCCGATCCCCTTTCCACGAACCCAACTCGGAGCTGTGCCAAACCAAACGATGAGCATGGACCCCGGGATTCCACCCAAATTGGATGGATGATATACCCCCGATTGCTTACCTAAAGGAGATACATCAGCTAAACTGCGCCGATTGCTTCTTTGGAGGGTACCCCTTTTTGGGTTGTGTCAAAGGGAAACCAATCAGAATCATCTTTTTTGGGGGATTCCGGCATATGGAGGCAAACACACCTCAGTATGTCATGTTTGAGGCTCCCCCCGTTTGGTGGCCTGAAAGGAAACCAAAGGAAAATCAGGTCACTGGAGGATACACCAAGGGCGCAAAAGTGGAATCAAAAGAAATCGAGCCGCACAGCTCGGGGTCCTGCTTTGAGACAAACCCACACGAGTTTTCAAGGGCTGCTGGCTTGACTCAAGCCCAGGCAAGACGGATGTTCCCCGGCAATTTGTCGCCGCGGCTGGCCTCCAACACATACCCGAAATCAACCACGAAAGGAATCTTGCCGCAAGGGTTCGGAAGCTCAGTTGAGCCCATGCACCTCGCAAGGCAGGCTCGGGGAAAGCCGTCCTGACTTGGGTTTTTGGGATCTGCATGGAATTCACTAACCAGGAGGGTCTCGGAGAATCCATCATCATCCTGGCAAGTCCGTGCCTGCTCGTCGATGAAATGCGCCACCTAGCAACAGATTAAGAAAAAAGAAAAAAACACGTTGACTTTGTGTGAAAAAACCGTGGTTATAAAGTGTGAAATAGACCTTACTCCAATCCCCATTCAACCAGGCAGAGCCCGCGCCCGCCACCCCTGGAGAACCTTCCCTTCCCCCCCCCCAAGAAGAATAAACAACGAATCCCCACCACCACCACCACCACCACCACCGCCGCCGCCGCCGCCGCCCCCACCACCGCCACCAACACCCCAACACCCAAACACATCCCCCTACCACACCCCCCTTCCCCTCCTTTTATCACACTGGTACCGGGATAAGCCCATCGCAAGGGCTTCATGGGTGATACCCCCTGATACAACAGGCGAAATGATGTGAATCGGATTTGGGGCGATTGAAACTAAAACTGTGTTATGATTGCAGGTGAAGAAGGCGTATAATCATTAAGCCCTTGTATCACCCTTGCCATGTCCTACAGAACTCCTGGTAGTTCCTTGGCTCCCTCGAAGGCAAATTTGGATACTTAGCTAGAAATTGAAAGCTGGTTTTGGGAATGAAGGGAGCGATGTTGGGGGTGACCCACAAAAGTGTTCCCACCAAATCAACCATGCGTTTATTAATCCGGGGTTAACGTTGATTGGATTTATCCCTGATTAATAACCCCACCCGACATAAACACTAATTTACAAAGGCAAAAACAAAACTTGGGCGAGGGTATTACATTGTATTGCCCCTGCTTCTATTTGAGAATATGTCCCTGCAAAGCATAACCACAAAATTTCCAGCAGTGATAGATTCCCTTTGAAACCAACAGGGGGAAGTAAAACATCATCTAAAAAGCAAATGGAAGAACATAAACAAATGTCACAAACATGTCACAAACAGAGATTTGCGGAAAACGAACCGAATCTGCTGGGAAACCTCATTGTCCCCGATCGCCCGATCGCCCAATTGTCGATCGTGTCAGTCACCGCCGCCTGCGCGCGGTGGGCCGAGAAGTCCCAGCCCACCGACACCGCCACCACCTCCTCCGCCAGCTCGGCACCTTGGAAGGCGCGGGCAGGGCGGCCTGTTTTCACCTTGCGACACCAACATGAAGAACACGAATTAGTGGGCTTGTGTGGAATTCCTGTTGGCTTCCGAACAACATCACACATATGAATTCTCTGTAAATATGTGTACGCACACACACCCGTTTTGAGACAGAAGTTCATCTTACATCCTCTCACATTCTGGTCCCCAAGGCCCCCTGTGCTTGCCGCGGCGCCCACGAGGTCTTTGATCACCTGCACCATTTAGCTTTGAGTGTGAACGACGCCCGGGCGATATCCCGACAACAAGACCTGAACCCTTCCGGAGCCGTAGCTCGGAGATGCTCCGAACCACTCCGGGACCCGTGTGAACATTGCACACATTACAAGATATAACGTGACATGGCATATGGCGTGGCATAGCATAGGCTGGCATTTCGCGACACTACGTCACAATTGCATCGCGTTGCATGTATTATATATATCTATATATGTATATACATTACCCCACACACCCCACACGCACACACACGCCTTTTGCAAGCCGCACACAGCTCACGAAATCCCATGGCCACCCGGGCCACTGACGACTCAGCTCTCCGAGTGCCTAAGCACACACGCAGAAAGCCTGTAACGCATGCGATCGGGCCCCGCAATATCTGTGTGTGTGTGTGTGTCGATTTTTAGGGGGACCATTCTAAGGGTTGGTTTAAACGGGAAACCAAAAGTGAACCACATATTGTTGCGGGCACCCTATTTTGACACATACCCATTTGCAAAAACCTGAAATATCCCGGTGAACTCATCTGACCTCGCCATAAAAATGGCCGACTCGTTTTTTTTTTTTCAGGGCGTCGAAATTTTGGGCCGCGAGAGCAAAAAAAAAACTGCAAAGACTATATACTATGAGGGGCTGAAGAATTGCCAACAAGTTCCTCCTGACATTCCTGTCATGACGCAATCTGGTTTTTAAGTACCCACACCATTCCAATGACTTTCGGCCCTTGGCTGGGCATTGAAACTCTTGGTATCACAGAAAGTGGCGACCGAAAACCCCCTGCTTTTCCAGAAACGTCCTCTCACTTCTGCAAATGGCACAGGCAAATCGCGCGCATCACGGGCTCGAATTCAATGAGTCTGGTGCTCACCACAGTCATTCAGCGGAGGACAAAGGTCCAAGGTTCGGAAGCTTATCCTCTTCCCACAAATCCTGGAAGCTGAAAGAAGGGATTTGGAGGACTGCAGTATTCTTGGGAAGGCCTTCAGCCCACTTCCATGATGGTGGGAAAGAGGGTACTTGCTTTTCTGCAGAATTAGAATGGAACCCGAAAAAGACGAGCCATTTCTGGAGGCTGCTTGGGACTCCTTTCTTGGGCTCCATGTCAACTTGCAAGTATTCGTGGACTTGCATCTAGGCAAGGATCTCCATAACCCGACCCATCGGGGGAAGATAGATAGTTGCCATCTTGCAGGGTTCCCCAAATGCTTCCATCACTCCGAAAGGCAGCTCGCTTTGAATTGACCCCAAAAAGGCGATCTTTGCAACCACCCCAGGAGAAATGTACGGAATCCTAGCTTGGGGTTCCTAGCTTGGGGTTTCCGGGGGTCCAACGGCCCTCGGGCAGACGGGCAGACGGGCAGACGGGTCGGCGGTTGGAGTCCATCCATCAAGGTTGGGTTGTTTGTGACACGAGATCGCAGGGATCCGGTCGCAGGCCGGATTTACGCCGCCTGCTGGGGTCTCCAAACTGGACACAAAAACACCACACGTCAACTACATCGGCAAGGATTAGGTAATGGGACTCCGAGATTACTCCCCTGTCAAATTAACATGGAACCTAACCAGGCGGCACGGGGTACCCAGGGTTCCATTTGAACTTGCAGGGAACTGTTTTTCTGCACCCCGAAGAATTTCCTGGGTGCTTGCCCCTTAGTCGAGGATCTTCCAGCTGGTGCTCAGCACAGGGAATGAGGGAATGACCCCTATAAACCATCGCCCGTGGTTCCTTTAAGGGGACCCTGGGTTCATTCCCACATTCCCTACGGAGCACCACCAAGTTATTAATCCTGGGTCATAAAAACCTCGCCATGCTCATCTGCGAGAAAGAAAATCCGGTCTCAGGAGAACCCCTGCCGGCCTCAACCAAACCTGCAGACCTGCAATTGCCGCGGGACATTCATCCCACGCGGACGCGAGCCGGCGAAACGGCGAAACGGCGCCCCCATGTTCACTTCAAAGGGACTGTGCCCGGGATCCTGAAAGAACCAAAACTGTTGGTGTCCACTGGTGGCCTTTCAAAGCTGAGTTTTGGACACAAGCATCTGGCGCAAACCCATGACCAACATGACAGTGAAGGGATCTGGGCCAGTCAAAGGGCCAGTCGGCCAGTCAAATTCTTTCAAGCTCTCGTCAAAGAGATTTCTTGGAGCCAGGAGCGTGACGCCGCATCCCAAAAGACACCCTGAGCTGAGCTCCAACAGTAACCAAGCAAGCTCTGCAATTGACGTCTCAGCAATCTCGTCGACTTTTCATCTAAGTCGTAGTCACCTCATTACCCTCTCATGAGTTGTCCGAGTTTCTATTTCATAAAGTATTCTCATCCCCTTACCTGCTGCCTCATTCTCATGAATCCTGAGCTGTCAGAAGTGGCATAAGTGGTGGTTTCAAAGAAAGAATACAGCAAAGCTGTTTGGGAAAAACAGCGGACCCTCAAATATTTCTGGGAACCCCTCAAATACACACTTTTAAGGGCCCCACAAAACAAAACATGCACGGCATCCCAAGAAATCCTCGTGGAATCCGCTTACAGAGGATCTCGTGCCAACGAAGCGGGGATTCCAGCATTGGTGTCCTGACGCAGACCAGGGCCACCTGTGTCAACACAGTGGTCCAAAATGATGGCTCTCCTTTTGGTTCCCCTTCAGCCCCAAAAGGTGGACCCTCTAAAAACAAATCCGGGCTGTTCAAAATCGATCCTTCCTCTTTACCTGGTTTCCTGTGGTGTACCGGATCAGGAAAGGGAACACGCTCCGCCAAACTGACCTGACAAGGACACCCGTGGCGCGCTTCCGCGCGCAGCGCGCCGAAGCCTCGAGCCGATCGATCCATCGGAAGGGACGAGGAAACGAACCCGGAGGAGTCCGATGGTAACACGGTGACCAAAAACGAGATCCACCTTGGGTTCAAATGACAGCCAAGCAAACCGCGCACATGGACCAAGGCACAGACCTAGTGGACACTTACATGAGTTGCGTCCATTTTGAGGCCACCTGTGCCGCCTCTCTCAGGTTTCCCTGCGTGATTGAACGTTTTTTGCCCCTACGTGAGGCGAAAGAATGGACATAGCCTCCCTGTGATACCAAGGTGGGATTCCCATCCCGATGTCTAGCTTCATTACGTTTAAAGAAAGATCCTTGGTATCAAACAAGGTGGGTTTGTGTGTGGACAGGCGAACTGCCCCAAATGGGTGTTTTCCTGTGGTTTCCATTGAGAGCAAACCCAAAACAACTGGCCCTAAAACCAACCAGCCCTCCCCAACCAGTTGCATCTGGGCAAACCACTACAATTCCCAAACTGGAAGCAAGAGAACCTTCCGGGACCCCCCGTTACCGGACAGAAATCGCTGCTTGTGCCGTTGAGCCGGTCAATTGTCCTGTCAAGGTAGGTACCAGGCTACCCCCCAAAGTGCTGGCTTTCGGGTTTCCTTTGAACCAACCCCAAAAAAAGGTGGGGGGAGGGATGGGGGGCGCTCCCTGAAAAGAGATCTCCGGCCGCATCTTCACCGCGGCTCTCCGCGGAGAACCGGCCTCCGGCTCACGGAGGGTTCCCAAAGAACTCCACGGCGCTGCCTTCCCGCATGCCGGCGTCCGCCAGCGTCACGGTCGGGTGCTCCTCCCGATCCCGCCCGAGGCCAACCTGTCTAAGCAACCCCTGGTTGACAGTGGTTCTTTAAACAACAACTTTCAAGATTCTCCTTTTGAGGGCCAGGGTGTGCTTGTAATTTGCAAAATCCATGGAACACCCCCCTTCAGCCGAGCTCCATTGAAGTGATGAAAAAGCACTAGCCCCACCTTCTGGGGAGCATGCACCATCTCTGCAATGGTTTTCTGGGCTCCTTTTGTGGGATTTCTTCAAGTAGTGTGGCTTTCTGGGTTCCTTTTGGGAATTGTTGCACTAATTCCAAGACCTGCCCAAGTAAAGAACCTGTGTTGGTGAGCTCGGTTTGCCTTCGAATGGGTGAGCTCGATCTTACAATAGGCAGGTGATCTCGCAGTGGTGGGAACGCAAGATGACGCAAAACCAGTTGTCAAGTGGCTGAAAACATGGATCTGGGCATATTACCAGAATTAACTCCCGAGCTAATGGGCCCTTCAGAGGGTTGCGGTGAGCTACGATTTGCCCCGACTGGATTCATGGCACAAGGGCCCCCCGGTTGCGTGGGCAAGTGCGAGACCCCGCCCACTTCAGCCTCAGTCGGCCATTCAACCGCTGGCTGCTGAAACCGTTGTTCATCCCAATTGACTTGTTACATCCTCCTTTTAGTTCCCACACAAGGGGTACCAGCTTGTTGTTTCAACCTAGCCCCTGCGCCTTGCTGGTCCACCTCTTGCCGGCGAACCTGCAGTGGTACTTGAGCTCATGGGCCAGCGTCACCTTCAAACGACGCGCTGGAGTTTGAGCATCTGCGTCCCTCTAGTTGAGCCGTTTCACCCGCTGACTTTTGGTTCCACCAACAGGTTCCACTGTCATGGCTACAAAGGCGAATATCGGCTTTCCTATAAACCTCATGTTGAGCGGTGCTCAATTAGGCGCTGGTCTGATTTGGCCCTCTACAAAAACCAGGGCTTCGAACCCCCCCCGAGAAGAAAGTAGTCTTTAAACGCTCCACAAAAATTTGGGCCAAACAACTCCCAAAAGGTGACCTTTTGGAAAACTAGACGGCCCTGGTAAATGGAATAAGACCAATTTAAACTAAGTAAACTAACCAAACTAACCTAAAAAGGACACCTATGCCTCCAACTTGAACCAATGACAAAGCAACGCCGGATCCCCGACATGAGCCGTGGAATCAACAAAGTTGTTCTCCAGTCCCCGTACTCATGTGGGGCAAATGAGCCAGCGGCCCTCGTATGTAAAAGACATAGGTGAGACCGCGTGTCGCCAAATCGACGACCCCAGCCCAAACCCCAGCGGCAGCCGTTGCCATCCCCTATATTAGTTTTCGGGGGGGATATCTTCTGTGTAAGTACACATA